TGGCAGCTCATAGTCTCTATCCTTACAAAACGGGTTTTACTAATCGAAAAACTGGGATATTCAACTCAGTATTTATATCAAATAATATCAAAAAGTAAATGTCTCGTATCAACCACAGTTTATTAAATATACTCCATCTAATTTTTAACAATTTAACTATGCCAATACTGTGAATATCAAAGAATCCACTTTCTGATGTTTTTTTAGTAAAAAATACAGAAAATCAATTATATTTTCTAATAATAAATATATTTTTTGTAATATCTCAATCAGTAGAAAAATTGTATTTTTGACGTTTCGTGACTTAATGTACGCCGCCTCTTCAAAGTAAACAATTAACCAAATTGATTTAATACAAGTTTAAATTACATATATATATATATATATATATATATATATATATATATATATATATAAACTCTCTTAACAATGCTAATTTTGTTTCAAACTATGATGTTCAACCTTGGCATTGAGACACATAATTATATCTTCTGTTTTATAACAGATAATAGAGTCAAAGGCAATTTTATAATTTATGGGTGGATCAATCAGATATAAGATAACGAGTCACGAATTTTGTCGCGAAATTCACTCATCCATTTGGCTAAATGGAGTTTTGGCGTTATAGCTGATGTCAGTTCGTGATGAAAACCCAAAATCTAAATTTTAACCCTAACTATCAACTGTAAGTAAGAATTGAAACTGCTTTATAACCACCATGTAGTCCAAATTAGTAGGTGTCCACTATCAAGGTCACTTCAGCGACACTCAAAGATCGTCCATAAATTATAGTCCCACCGAATCAAAGCTTTAATCATTTACAGAGTAATATTGCTTACATTCTTTACTATTTTAGATTAGTCTTTTTTCCATGTTGACAGAAATGCTTTTGCCTTATATTTTTATCAAAACATTTAATGTTGCTTAGAATTATGTTGACTACAATGTATATTCAGTGTATTAAACTGACAAACGTCCTGCTTATCCGAATGAAAAATGACATTTTCTCTTATTTATTTATCTCAGTTTATCAAAAGAGGTGACTAGTTACTGGGACGTCCTGAAGATGAACGTCAAAAAACACTTGAAGAGAAAATGAATCAAATTCATAATCGTAAATAAACGTGTTAGTCTGAATTACATATTCCTAAGTTGTTCAACTATATAAAAGAGTAAGTATCATAGTCCAAGGATATTCGAATTATATTTCGACGCCTTGCTAGCATAAGAGATAACCAAAAATTCAGTTGCCGATAGATAAGTCATATGCCTTAGTATTTATTATACCTTATCATATGAACAGTTAAATTACTTCAAAATTTTACGTATCTACACTCTGATACAAATAACTTAAACGACATGAATATTTCGCAATTAAAAAATTACTACTGAATTATAACTATTATTTTACCTAAATATTATTGGATGCTTAATCTACAAAAGAGCTTTCTATTACGCAATCAAATTAAGATTATTCACTAATGTAATTGACAAATTTTCATAAGTGCCTTTTCACTTGAAATTGCAAAGTACAAGAAGTTTCATAGCCACAAAGTAGTTTTTTCGAAATACTAAAGTGTAGTCAATATCACGAGTGTTACATGTTTAGTGATACTCAAAAATGTACGGAATAGCTTTAGTAAAGAATGGGGTAAATTACGACACGCGAGCTGAATTTCATTATTCACTACATTTCACATAACATACAAAGCCATAAATAAATAAGCAGAAAGAAGGTCAGATATGAAACGACCTGAAATGTTTCGGGAAATTTCATATTTAAATTTGTAAGCTTTACTAACAACATTGACAAAGTTGCACTGTTAAAATGTATGATTATGATGGAGTTGATTTCTCTAAGCCGAGTGCAATAATCGTGAAGCTTTCATTGCCTTTCTAAACAACTTCTTAAGCGCAAACCTCAGATTCAACAAGCGATTAAAACAATAATAAAAACCTAAAGTCAAGAATCATGTCAGTGGGGCATAAAATTATAAATTATATACAGTCAATGATGGGTCAACAACCACCAACTAGATTCAACGTTGACAAAAAAGCTATTAGTCATACACAGAAAAATCTGAATAGTTCACTTCTATCTAAAGTTTATGCTAATGTTGTTATCAAGGTAGGCAATCAGAGTTTTATCATTAAACCATTGAGCTTAAAGAACAGAACTTCACTTCATCGTTTCGAGAAACAAATCGTTTTCGACATCACAAATTATTTGATGAGTTAACACCAGTTTCACTGTTGAATAAAAGATATAAGTACCTGAATTATAAGCACTTTAATACGTATTACGTATTATTTGTGTTCACGTGGATAAATTATGGTTCATCAGATAAGTATAATATTAAACAGTATACCAAACGTACGAATGGTATTACGATGATGAACAAGAGTGAACATCCACCGATTCACTTTACAAACCCTTATTTTCACTTTTGATTGTTCATTTATTTAGCACAGAGGGTTTGTGGAAATCACTGTATCACTAGAAACCTGGAAAAACTGGACGTCCGTTTCGTCCTAATATTGGAGTCCTCAGCAGTACGCATCCAATCAAACAATTATATATTTATCAGTAACTAGCCTCGAGATGTAACTCCCGGAGTTAGACTGAGAACCCATGACCAGTGGATTTGAACCGTTTTGAGTGTGAAAAGTGACTAACCTCAGGCAATGGATGAATGGTTACGCAAGATCATGGATTGATTGCAGTTAGATATTAACATCGCTAGATACCGGCTCAGGGGTCCAGAGATGAAGTATTAGCGTGCGAGATCGAAGATCCTAAACTCGATTTCCACGTGCGGGATCGTGGATGCACACTGTTGCTGAATGCTTTATTAGGACCAAACGGCCGTTCAGTGCCTCTTATTTTCAGTGGTGACCCAGCTTAGTCATTTATTTGTTATCTGATCAATAATTCATACACTTTTGGTTGATAAGATACAGATTCATTGACCAGTTAGTTTGTTTTAATTTTGATACCTATATCTATTAGCTTTTAACCTATTTCACTCCTCTATGCATGAAAAGAAGACTGTCCGATGAATATCTGTGTCAGGTTCTATATTGCTTATGGATAATTGACTAACCTTTCACTACACATGTTACAAAGTTTAACTACTTCGAAGTGAATGTTTTCCTTTTAAAATTGTAATAGAAATGGTTTTTGTTAAAACAGACTTTTTCCGCATAAGTACATTTCCCTATAAAATTTAGTACTTGAGTGATTTACTGAAATATGCAAAATTCATTTTAACAAAGTGTTTCTTATCATGTAACATTGTTTAAATAAAGAGTAACTAAGTTAAAACTTGAGTTATTTACATACAACAAATTTGATACAATAAACCTTATATTCAGCTATTAGTTGGTTGTTTAATGGTTGATCGACACATTAATAATGTTATATTTGCATGGGTACTTAAAATAACTTAAATAATTTCATTTTATGGTTGAATTTTATGCTTATAAGTATGTTATTTTACAATTACTTTGAAATTAACTTACATCTAAAACTGAAATCATCTTCAAAAATTTTAGAAAACACGGAAAACCGAACTTCTATCACATCTCATTTCAGAACAACTCTCAAAAAAATATGCACAACCATATGGGATTAAAACTTAAACCTTCAGTTTCTCAGTGAGCAAAATATCGTTTGGACCATTGAACTGGAATCCAATAATTCAGAATATCAACTTTCACTAACAAGTGATAATATAAGGTCTTCATAGAAGACAAGTGGTTAGTTGATAATTAATCAACAGTTAATAAATCCAAAGTATTTTTGCTTGTACAACTTCAATCCTTTATGTTGACGTAAAGAGAAATATGTTTTTTAGTTATCAGAGCTTTGTGGAGATTGGTTTATCCAGTAGGCTATGTATTCCACATACAGCGATTGCATTCGTGGTACCGCTGAAAACCTAAGAGCACAGGACAGCTATTTTATCGTAATATGGGACTCGTCAGAAGCGAACACTTGATGCCTTACCAAGGATTTAACTCAGAAAATGCAGGTTTCTTGGTGAACGCTTAGACTTTAAAACTAATGGGTTGGCGTGTAATGTTAAATTTTGATTTAAGTTCTCAGGAATTTCCGAATAAAGTCTTCAGAAGCCACGTAAAGGTTTAAAACATCAAACTTAATCAGCATCAAATAAAGACTTCACAGAAACATTCAGAAAATCTGAGTATTATAAATCTTAATTCGACTAGATAAATGTTTATTTTGTCTTCGATTCGAACGTATTTTCTTCCCATAAATCCATCTCGCAGTAACGCTTCTGCTCTTATCGCTCGCCTTTCTTCACTATTCGAGACTCAAGCGTTCGAATATTTACGTAATCTGAGAAGCATTATCAAACTTTTGGGTAGTAAACACATCGCAGTTCCAACTTCGATCATTTAGGGAAATAAAGTGGCAATCATTAGACGTCAACGGTGGAAACTATTTGAACTCCATTACTCATGAATTCACAAAAGAACTTTGAAAATATCTAGAAATTAATCACTACTATAGTTTAGTTGGAAGTGCTTTGTGAAGATTCGTTTAATTTGTAAATGGTTTATGTAACAGATTGGTGTTAGTCGAGGTAACATTGAAAACCAGGGAGTACAGAACAGCAATATGTAAATATATCTTTACAAGTTATGGAACTGTAATTTGGGGATTCTCATTAGATCAAAATGTTTAAAAAATATATATTTAAACATACATATTGAATGATGACACTGTAATTAAAAGCATGACTTTTCAGGATAATATATTATCACTATGACTCGTTTCTTTATAGTGTAATCGGTGGGTTAATAAAATTTAGTTTATGATTGGAACAGTAGAAGACTTTCTTAATATCAACATTGAATATGAGGTGAATAAGTAATTTTCAGTTTCAGTTAACAAGCTGCAGATTTAAACACTACTATCCACCTACTATGATCCAAGCAGATGAGTTAAAATCATTAGTTATAACACCAGTAATATATGATTCAAAGTGGACTACATGAAACTGTTCTTAATAAATAAGTACATATAAACTCTTCCATTTACATTTCAGTAGATTTAGTAAATTTCAATATCTTTCTCATACAATACAAGAAATAAATTATATCAAATAGGTGTAACATTGACAACCATTAATATAGTTTACATATAAAATCTTTTTTTCCCCTTTTTTCAGAAGATTTTGTTAAAAAAAAAGAGAAAAGTAGAACAAATTCGGAAAAAATCGAAAATATATAAAAATTGTCAAACTACAAAAATCATTTTTTACTACTACTAGTAGTAGTAATAATAATAATAGTAATAATAATTATTATTATTACTGTTATTACTATTACACTAGAAACATGATCTTTTTAAATATTTTCAGTCCGGAAATGTTCTTTAATCATAAAAATAAATCCAAAAAAAAATGATCAAAGGAAAATGTTCTGTGACAAGATCAAAGACTACTCTTTGACGTGCTCTATTTTTATAAACAAGAATCAATGAAATTCAATGGGGTGTGCCCATTTCTCCTTTTTATTAATCTCTTTGACTAAAAAACACTAGTCACTTTTCACATTTACAAAACAAAAAAAAATAAATAAAAAAGAAAAACTTAATGCCATTCGGTATTTTGATAGGAATTTATTTAGTTGAGAAAATTTTGAAGAATGACAAACTGGCACGCATACATGATGAGTATGCGGCTAAATTAATATGGATATTTTTCACAGGAATAAATAAAGTTATACAGTGAAATAAAAGGTGAACATAAAACAGCTATTCTGATTATTGTTATAATCAATAAACTCAGTTTTATTCAGCCTCCTAAAAATTTATTTGGTCGAAAAATGAAAGGGATTAAATACAAGGTATTGGTTCATTAAAATTATAAACTGTTAGTTTGAATTATGTTGAGTGATGGAAATATTCTGCTAGGCGCTTACATAGCAATTATAATCCAGTGTTGGAAACCTTTTGTAATATAGTGTACAAACGACTTCAGTGGTACAATTTCATTAGTTCTATGTTTTCCTCCAAACTTTATGTTAAGTATCACTTTTAAACTTTCATTCTTCGATTTCTGTTCTTCAGATTTTTATTACAGTTAAAATTTTTCTCACTTCCTCCCTCTATATCTTGTTGAAATGATATTTAGCAACTTGAATAAACCCATATTCGTGTTAGATTTTATGTTGACAACTCATATAATACCTAAACCAAATAAGCTTATACATTTTAAACTGCCCAGTACAAATAGAGATAAAACCAAGAGTAAAATATAGGCTAATCAGGTGAATACAAAATGATTTAGAAAGTTAATTATAACGTATTGCTTTTAACCATCATTCATAATTTAGTCACTATTAATAAATAAGATTGTGACTATAAGTCTTAACTCCACTAAGGTTACCAACTAACAAGAAACCTAAGTTGAGAATCTCTTGGTGATCCTCTTCAACAACCGACGACAATACATAATGAACTATCATATGGCATCATTTAGATTAGTAGCTGCATGGCAACTTTGTAATATGAAATCGTTCACAATTTAGGAATAAATAACATAATACTAGTAGTTACCGAGTACATATATATATATATATATATATATATATATATATATAATCTGAAGTCTACTTACCCTAAGTTAACACGAAATAGTTTAGATTGGATCCTATCCTCGTTCTCTTGCTCAATTTTAGTTCCTTTATGGACAAAAGTTAAATAAAATATTGTTATAAAAAATATTGACGACAATAAAATTTCAATCAAGTAAGTGAAATACTTCATTAAAGTTTGTGGTGTACATCAAAAATATGACCCAATTATTTTATATACACCATTTTTTAAAAGTATGCCTCATAATATCCTAATTCTAAGCTAGTTAGCTACACGATTCCAGTTAAGTGGACGTTTGAGTGAGAATAATTGGTGAGCAAGATAAATAATTTTGACCCATCCTTACAATACTACCTGAATGCTCAAACATATCTAAGCAGAACAAGATGTTAACTTGTCAAGTAGTTGCTTTAAAATCAAGTGTATCAAATACTAAGCCTTAGCTTCATTCTCTATACAAAATAATAATATTCATGATTTCTAGTTTAGATACTAACATATACTCGCTTAATAGTACTAAGTTATTATCGTAAACCAAACACAGAAAACAAAACTAAATAATTTTATAGGCAAAGATGGGTAGTGGCGAGCAGTGGAAAGATAGTTGCCGAAGTAAGTAAAAAGGTGATTGAACATGTAGTTCAATGGTCGAAAATCTACTATTTATATCACTAAGTAACTCCACGTTTTCATCAGCAGATCTTTCAAATAATTTAATCTATTCTAGACTGTATTATAACCAGAGATGGATAGTTGCTAGAAGTGAAATCCACAACTCGCGTTTCCTCATATTTGAACTTGTCAGTTCTTGTGACTTAATGGTAATATCGAAGTAATTCGCACAGGATGCACGTTTGCCAAAAAACTGATCAATTACAGTCCTAAACATTAACCAGAAGATTCAAACAACTGATACAAAAGAACTATTCTAGACTGTGTTCATAATTACTGAAGCTTTAAAAGTAATGAATTTAGTGGAAGAAATAAAACCTGACCAAACATTGAACCCTACGAAGTCAGTTATAAAATAAAATAAATAAAATCATTCCGAGATAACAATCATATATGTAAACATAATTGTACATATGTAATTCGTGAAAATACAGTCAGCCATTCAAACTTAATTCAAAGGAATGCGCTGTTAAAGATAGTCTTGTTCAAATGATATTTATCAATAAGATAAATAAAACTATTCTATAAAGACTTTTATTATAAGCAGACTATAGATCGTATTAGAAAATTTTGTGATGGTGGAAAATATTTGTACCTCAAATGAGTTTTGTCCTGTGAGCTGGATGGTTTGAACGTGGAGCTTTTACATAATTTTATTTATTAAGTTATTTTATCAGTTCACGTTGGACTATCTACCTCCAACCTCGACTGATTTCATATGACTAGTTCAAAGTTTATTCGAAAAACAATCTATCTAATAACTAAAATAACAATTCAAAGTTGTAAAATTTAAAATGACTAACAATAGCTAGTGTATTCTGTTCTATCAGATAAATATGTAGAATCCAACCATTTCAATTTATTCTCAATTTTATAAACATGGCCTCATGAATACAAATATTCCTAGATAAGAATACATTTTCTTTTCAACTAATATGTTATATACTGTTAAATGTTGTCTTGAATTTTAAAGGTTACCAATCAGAAAACAATTCAAGCCTGAAGAATTTTTTTACTGAAGTATCTTTTTGATTGGAAACTGATGTCGTATACCGATGTCACATAGTATGAAATAGTATTCCAGACAAGTGTATAAAAGTTTTGGTTGAAATCATTAACTGATTCATGTTAGACCACCATTGAAAACCTGGAAGCACTGTACGGCCATTTCGTCCTATTGTGGGACTCCTCAGCAGTGCGCATCCACGATCCCGCTCGCAAGATTCGAACTCACGGCCTTCAGTCCCGCACTCAAACGCTTAACCTTTAGACCACTGAGTCAGCATCCCAACGGTGTTAATGTGTAACCTCAACCAATCCACGAAATTGATCGACCATCTTTCATTGTACTGAGGTAGATACCTGTCTCTAACCAACACGGATTAGCTCCACTGGTCACGGCTTCTCACTAGAACTCCGAGAATTCCCTCACAAAGCTAGTCACCAGTGAGCACATGGTATAAAACAGTATAAAAGTCTTGAACGAGGAAAAGTTTTTTGAAGCTATTTCTTAATCATATAAGATCTCAATTGAATCACCTAAGATAGCTCTAACTTAGCTGGACTTAAAGAGAACTTACATCCAACACGATTATTTAGATCTTTTGAAAACCGTAAATAAATACATCAACTGTTTATAACTTATGTAAATTTTATCATAATTTAACCTTTTTTAAATACCTCGTATCCAAAGTTGATAAATGCGTTGTCTTCTATTTAATTTTTCTTCTTTTCTGTCTTCGTGATTCACATGAGTGTCATTTTCAGCTTCCTGAATAGTTGATTCTACTGAACGAGAAACCAAACATAATTGATTGTAGAATTCAACATTTTCTACCCATTGTTCATTGACTTCTGGGAACAAACTAACGGTCCCTGTGTTTAGATTAATTACATATGGGTTAGGTAAACTAATTTGAATAGAACTTTGACAAAACTGATCTAGATCAGGGTCAACCATCTGGTTTGATTGATGTATCTCGATATGTTGTTTAACCGACTGTTGGTGATGTAGGCAATTTTGTTGATGATCCAAGGGATAAATGAGCAAATCCTTTGATGAGACTAAACAGATAACAATCTAAATTTTTTAGAAAAAAGAATGTTACTTAGCAAAAAAGTAAACGCAATCTTATTAGATAATTGGAGATAGTTGTCTCAACTACATGGACTTAGGTTTCACCTATGTCAACAGTTGCCAGTTATGGTGTATTTGTCGTCCCCAGAAGACTGATACCTCTGTGAATCAAACTAAATATATTCTCATGTACAGTCACATAAACCATTACCTTAACTTTAACTTGATTAACAGATGAAAATAATATTGGTTACGGATGAAGAGTCAGTCAACATGAACACAAAAACTTAGATAAATATGATTACCTATAGAAGAAATCTACAAAATAAGTTACAGGTAAAGAGAATTTCTCACTCTAAACAAATTTTTATTCTACTTGTACGTTATAGAAAAACGAAGATAATAAATGAATACAGTTTCCTATCTGATGCCAGAATTCATTATTGAATTTATTAAAACTGAAACAAGTGTACTGAAGAAAGAGAGACATTACAAGTCAGTGTTCTGCTTACTTCTACTATCCAACGGAAAAGAGACAAAAAAAGGAAATTGATAAAAACAACATTCCGGGCGTATGGTGAATTCTGTTTAGACGTCTCCTACTATTTTTCAGACAGAAATTTTCCTTAAAAAAAGATGGTAAATAATGTTTTCAAAAAAAGAGAAACAATCAGAAAAGTAAGATATTTTTTTCTTTTCAGAGTCACCTAAAACAATTATCTGACAGTATTAATAATATGTTGTATAAAATAAAAATAAAAACATCAAATGTGACGTGAATGTTGTTGTTCAGAAATATCAAGGAAGTTGAATATGAACGATAAATTCATCAACCAGAAAAAAAAACCATCGTTGAATCTTTTTTGTTTGCAAAATAATAAGATTTACAATCATAGAGAGGTTTCTTGGAGATTGTAGTAATTTAATAATTGAATTCATGAGTCAATCACATGCTCACTAGTGACGGTCTCCAAGAGGCATTTCTTGGAGTTCTAGTGAAAAGTCGTGGCCAGTGGAGTTCAACCGTGTCTGTTGTGAGATAGTAAACCACTGATGATAATGGTGGACAGTGGCACGATTTCGTGAATTGGTTGAAGTTAGACATCAACACCATTGGATCCCGACCGGCTCAGTGGTCTAGAAGTTAAGAGTTCGTGCGCGAGATCAATAAGTCCTGGGTTGGAAACTCGCGAGGCAAGATCGTGGCTGCGCATTGTTAAGGAGCCCCACGATAGGACGAGACGGTCGTCCATGGCTTCCATAGTAGTCTAGCTTCAATTGACTCATGAATTCAATTATTAAATAAAATTTACGTTTTAAATTATTTCAAATGACTTATTAACTTACACGGAAATTATCATCTACGGTTAAAATGGTAATAGCTTGACAATGAAAATTCTTCTTTCCCCTAATAATAAACAATATTTTAATAATAACAAAAATAAATAAATCATTGCTAATTAAAACATGTAATAATTGATCACTAATTAATTAGTACTGATTCATTTTTTAAAACTGTTCCAATTCTATCAATAAGAGTACAATGCAATCAGTTATATGAAATAACTTAATATTAAAAATAGAATTAAGAGTATGATTAAATAAACCAGTTATTTTTTGTGATTTAGAATATGTTTACTAACATAATCATGATAGTCTGGTTTAATACGATATATTATTGACTAATTCGCTACGAGTTCACTAAACTAGTCATTACTTCATAGAAATCTAGTCATAAATTAATGAATTTCAACCATATAGATTGTTAACGATACTATAATTATTCTGATCAGTGTTACTCTGATAGAGATTTGTTATCGTTTTTATTTAAAAGCATGTTTCAAATCAGTTTGAGAATACCTTTATCAATGAACATATGTTATTGGTTTTCAATAAAAGCCATCATATGATATCTCAAATACTTATTAGAATATTAATACCATAACCAGAACATAATAACTTCATATTCCATTCAATGCTATTTAGCCTAGGAACCAACTATTCTATTAGTTGAATTCATGAGTTGAGCTAGTCTATATCACCATGGTAGTTTCGTCCTAGTATAGGACTCCTCAGCAGTGCGCATCCACGGTTCCGCGTGCAGTACTCGAACCCAGGACTTTTAGTTTCGTGCGCGAACGCTTAACCTCCAGACCACTGAGCCGGCATCCAACGGTGTTAATGTCTAACTTCAATCGATTCTATAAGCCTTGCATAGGTAGCGGTTAATAACCCAGATCGTATCGACTATTTAATCTACATTCAAAATATGAAAACACAATAGTCGAGTCTAAAACGTCAACCTATAATGATTATTGTCTTTCCTGGCTTAAGTTAACCACTATGTTTTAAACGACCGGTATTTCGCCAAATTTATTATGGTACACAAGAAACACAGTTCATGTCAACAGTTAAGATAATTATATCTTTTTTAAAAATATTTCAGCTTACACAATATTGTTTTTTTTCCACGTCAACTGATTTCCATCTAAATTATAAATATCAAACGTGGATTTCCTGCGTGATATCAAATCACCCTTGGTTGAGTGTTTATTCCCATTTAGATAACATGCAGTAAGTAGATTGATGTATTTGGTACTTATCGACAGACCAGCAGCTACCAATGATCCTAATTCGGTATAGAATAGGGGTAAGTATCTCCCTAAAAATGAAGATATATAAGCAAGTTAGTTATATATTATATTTAACTAATTGTTTCATTTTATAATCACCAAATGAAATATTATGTCATTAGTATTTTGCTTGAAAGAATTTATAGATAACTACTCAGTTGGTAAGCTGTTTTTCCCTTGAATTAGTACTATCTAAGGTATCATCAAAAACAAAATATTCGGCATGGAGTTCAACTAAGGACTTCCAGGTTTCATAGTTAGAGCATAATTACAAGACTACTTGTGGGATTTCAGTCATCCACAATCTTAACATTCAATAAATTTTCTACTTAGCTCGACGACCAATTATTATCATGCATGACAAATGTCTCACTCGAGACTAGGCAAGGCCAAACAAAAACATAATCGCGTGCTCACAAGTGATCTGATAAGAGATGGTCTCTAGGATTTCAGTGCGAAGTCGTTAATGGTGGAGCTCAACGATATCTGTTTTGAAACACAAGATATCTTTCAATGTGATATATCGGTAATCGATTGAAATTGAAAATTAGATTATGTATTCAGTCTTCATTACTCCAAAATAAAACGGTATAGATGTTTGGTTGTCCCTGGTTTTAAATGGTACCCCAGATGATATAAAACTTTGACTGATACAACCTTCAATGCAACATCTTTCTGTTCACCTAAGATGTGATATACAAACGTTACAAATTGATAATGAGAGGTAATATCAACTGATTTACTACAGTACACCCTCACATATCGAAATCAGTTGATTAGCTTTTTGAAATTACCGCCTTTTATAAGCACCACAACTAATTACATTAAAAAAAATCATGTTTTAAAGGCATATTCCCTAAACAATAAAGAATAGTTTACACACTCCCACTTCAATACCTACTTTTAAAAGCTGATATTCATCTTTCTTTAAACAATAAAATAATTTGTCCACTAGAATAACTTTTGGACTAGAAAAAAAGCAACGCTCAACGACTCTCTGATTATTATTATTTCCTGAATAAATTGAAACGAAAGTGAAGTAATACTGGTGCCTATACTTTTATTAATCAATCGACTGATTACTTAATAAAAGAATATGAGTAAACTAATCCATTTGTACAGAATATATATATATATATATATATATATATATATATATATATATATATATATATATATATAGTAGTATTTCATTCTTTGATCTCAGTGGCTTGATTACTAAATTATTAATATTCGTAATCCAATTAATTACTATAATGTATTACAATGAATAGATAAGTGAAACGGGTAATAAATCCTTATAAATTGCTCTTTTTATATCAGTGCGCTCAAATACAAAGCAATATAAAGAAACGGGGAAGTGATATCAATTTTTGAAGAGATTAGGATGAGACAACCGTTGTTGAATAATGCAAAAAGGAAGTTTGTTGAAAAAAATGGAAATTAACAATAAATTTGATTAATAATTGATTATTTTCAGTCCACTAAAGTGTTTGTTTGTTTGGTTGGTTTCGATGACAAATTATCTATTTTCTTTTTCCGCATCGTCATTTTTTTGCACTAAATGGAAGGTAGAAACTAAACTACTATGAAAAGCCTGAATGCGATCGACGGCTGTCTTGTTCTAGTATGGGACTCCTCAGTGGCAGTGAGCATCCACGATCCCACCCCGCAAGATTTGAACCCAGAACCTATCAGTCTCGCGTGCGAGCGCTTAACCTTACGACCACTGAGCTGGCCGGCATCCAATGGTGTTAATGTTTAACCCCAACCAATTCACGAAATCGCTCTACCGTACACCATTGTCTTCAATGAGTTATTATCTCACAAGAGACTCGGTTGAACTCCGCTGGTCACGGTTTCTCACTAGCACTCCAGGAAATAACTCTTGCTTATGAAATACATTTTGAGTTCTTTTTACGCTAATTTCAATGGTATTTTAAAATGATATTTACTTATGAGCTCTCATTTTCAAAAATATCAAGTTTAAGAATTTATTTAAACTGTTTAATATCTGCAACAAACGATAAACACATAAAACCAAGTAGGTAATAAATCGATGAATGAAAATATATCAATTCCTCAAATCTTAGGTTTTGACAGATGTATATTAGTCGAAAAATTCATTGTGGCTATTCCATCAAGTGAGACAACATAGTAAGAACTCTGTAGGGATATTTTAAGCGCCGAGTTAGTTAGTAACGGTTTTTGATCTCAAGTTTCACATTACTAATGATCGTCCGACCTTCACAAAACTCTTAGGTACCGAGTGCATAGATCTAAAACAACACGATTGAGTTTTTCTTGTTTATTCGTCTTTTTTTAATGCATCAACCTTGTCTGTAATATGCATTTTTTTGAAGCAATCACCTCCCCCAAACGATTTATAACAAGGGATAACAAAGAGATAGAAATCCTAGAAAGTTTATAATAAATGCCTTATTGACTTGAAAATCTCCAAATGTGCTGTGTAGCAAACATCTCATAGTCAAGTCTATCAGCTATCGTGTTTATTCAGTTTTAACAATGATTCATGGTTGGTCTTGAAGTGCTGCTAGTAAATTGAAATTATCCTGTTAATCCATTAATAATCAACTGGAAAATAACTTGGTGGATTACAGAATCGTCAACCTTTTGGTGCAGTACGAGCTAAATGTCAGATTTTCCCGACTCCTGGTATACTAGAGATGATTCACTCTTTATTTTCTATCCACTCAAATTATTTCATTTTTGTTTTCGTAAAAAACTTGTTTTGATTCGTTTTTGTATTGTTTGCTTAAAGCTTACCATTGGCGTTTTGGACTGAAATTGATCGGTCTTCTATTGACATATGTGCATCCTGTGAGGATTGCCTCGATACTGCCTTAAGCCATGAGCATTATAGGCAAAGATGAATGGTGGCTAGTAGTGAAATCCAGGACGCGCGTTTCGTCCTATTTGGGACTCGTCAGCTGGATTTACCTGCATTCCAGAGTTGATGTTTTCATCCGTCTTTGCTCATATAAAAGTGTTATCATACTAATTGGTACAATGGTCTAATATATTACATTATGAAATACATAAGAATATATTTTTCATTTGGTTCATTTCAATAAAAACAATAGGATGAAACGGTCGTCCAGTGCTTCCAGGTTTTCAATGGTGGACTAACATCAATCGGTTCATGATCTCAATCAAGAACAATGAGCTTGGTTCACTGGACACAGCAGTAAATAAAATTTTAAATCTAAATAATCAAAAGCATGAATGGTTCATTCAGACCATATTTTCAAATGGCAATTCAATTTTATGTTATTCTACCCGAATCGATCTGATTAAATGATGATAGTTAAATGAATTCGGTTCAAAGAGCAAAATATATCCTACTTAATTAATAGATGACTGGTTATATAGTAAAAAGCTATCGACATTCAATACCCTAAGAGAGCTATCTCAGAATTAAGGTTAATAAACAGTCTAACTAGTTTCAAATACATATGTTTAATTTACATACAAAAACTTAGTTGCCTATAACATAATTCCATGCTTAGTTAACCATAAAGGTGGACAATACTAAATCAATCAATAAGGAAATGTGGAATACACTGTATTTTGACTGATTCTGGGTAATAAAACCTGAGAAAAAACTGGTAACTCAATATTTATCTCTTTTCTTATCTATTGTCCTCATTTGTTCAAAGGTAACAAGCTTTTTCTCAAGTGTTTTAAAGCTATCTTAAATGATGTCTCTATGTACTATGAATAAATATTCATTATGAAAATCTTTGATTATGTATATGCAATAATGAATTGCATATGCATCATTTCTATGATTCATTTTTATAAGTTAGATATAATTCAATAAGTTTATTGTTTTCGAATTACTGTCAAGCAAAGTTCGTCTACTTTATACATCAACTTCTTAATACACATATTATTTGCACTACTGAATTTAACCTAACGGAGAAATATCTTTATATATAACAGTTATCCAGAGAATGTTTATTTGCCGAAAAGAAGCTATCATATTTCAAATGTATGTGAAGAATTAGAAATTGATCGATACCGAAGAAAATTAGGTAAGAAAGACATAAATATATTTAGAAACTGAACTAATGTTGAGAAATAATGATCATTTAATTCCGACTAGCTAGTGAAAAGTTTATATGAAAACTACGACATCTGGATATTTTAGATACAGCCTCAAAATGAAACTGAAGGTCAAGTAGAGGATAGCTCTCTAGTGTTATATAGTTCTTGATAAATCAGTCCATTATGTATTCACTAACAATAAACTCCGAGAGGTTAAGAGCTCCCCATGCAACTTAGAAGTCTTGAGTCTAATCCCTATTGGGGACGTACATGAACGCTATTACTGCGAAGGCTTGTACTAAGGAAAAAAAGCTGTCTTCCTAGTTTTCAGTAGTTTCTAGCTACAGTCAGTCATGATGTACAATAAAAGATTCCTCAGTTGAGACCAATTTTTGATAAAAACTACTAATATTATTCAGTGAAATATTTATCCAATAAGGATTACTATTACGTCAGTCAGTATGTGATGATCAATAGAAAATGTAAGTTAACAACCAATAAGATTAACTAACCTGATTGTAATTGTCTAATTATAACTAATCTAGATTGAAGACCAATCACCAAATAATTATTTCTCGAATTAATTAAATTTGGCTTCTTTGACAGATTTTCTTTATCATCATTGAATGTTTCATTTGTATTAAAGGAATTACTAGAACAAACAACTGAAATATAAGTTATTTCTGAACCGAAATATCGTATTTCCTCTATTATACCTTCTTCGGCTATGTAGAGAAATAAAGCATAGAAGAATAGGATAAGTTTAAATAATAACAGGTTGATATCATGAAATGCAGATATCTCTCAATCATCGATAACTTTGTATTCTTACCAAATATAGTAAGTATGCAGAAATTAATTCCCGGCATTTAAACTGTTCCGGTGTCTAGATTACTAAAAATAACAAATCTATAGCGAATTAGCTTCAAGATAATTCGATAGGCTTCATATATCAATCACCCTGATAACCGCTATTAGATAAATCCCAACAACGTGTAAATTCAGAAGGAAATGCAAAGTGCCGATTACAGTTTATTATCGAATAGCACAAATCAACAGACCACAAGCACACCGAGAAAATTCGAGTAGAAAAGCTAATGCGCACGAACGAATGAATAGGATTCAAGCACATGTATATATGGGAAAGAATGATTCATTGTGGGATATAAGCAACTAACATTCAAGCTAGAGAAGTATGTGTTATGGGACCAATAATGATCGGTGAACATAATTTAAATAAAAGATATTTGTTACTTTGCATCAAACCTGAATAATTATTGATTAGAACTCCTTTAAATGAACTGTTTTTGACCTCTATAATTCAGTTACTCTATTGTCCAACTTACAAACGCTTGTTACAATTTATAACTGGCCTAATAAAAACATAACATTTCTAACGAACTGTAAGATGATACTAATCAAGATTATAGAAAAGAACTCATGATACCAAGATACATATCAATCAATTTTGAAAATATTGATTATACGCCTACTACATTAAAGTAATCTCTAAACTGATATTTCCTGACAAGTTAACAAAGCTGGTTAGAGTAGAAGATGACTGAACAGTTGAGTCTTTATTACCCTAGCCTAAACACTCTGAAAATGTATTTAAAGCCATTTCGATTCACCAAACTAATCTGGATTATTTCTTTGTGGCCTCTTTAGCCATACAAGCTGAAAACAAAGATACCAAAGGAAAAGCAAATAATAAATACTTTATTTATAAAAATCTTACTTTTAGAGAACTTATCTAAAGGATAAAAGAAAAGATAACATGATTTAGACCAATAAACACAAATCGATCCAGAGTACGCTACAAAAGAAATTTAGAAATGATTATCAGTCATGAATAAAAGTCAGTTATTTATTTTGCAAAGTCTGTTTACAACGAATAATCTTACATCATAAGGAAGTCATTAGCTATTTGTTTTTAAATCAAGATTTCATGAAAACTTAGGGTTATTAACTGTCGAACAGTAATACTTAGGTCCTTCTAGACATGTATGAAACAATTTAAGGCTTACATGATAATAACGAAGTCGTGATCATTCTAACAAAAATCAGTTTCATTTAAGAAACCACTCTATGATGAACATTTTGCATATACTGTCTTATTAACAATTGTGTTTTACAGTAATAAATCTAGAGCATAAATAAATATTCGCACTTGAAATAGTTATTTACATTGAGAATGTCAAAAAACCCTATTGAACATTCTAACTAATAGTGATTACGTTACTGGTTATGGACGAAAGTTTTCTAGAATTTTTTTAAAAAAGTGTAAATTTCCCCATAAAATGGGAAACTATCACACTTCAGTTTGATAATTCCCAAATGTAGCAAATCTTAATCATTCAACTTTGATGTAATGGTGAAAAAGACGTTTTTTCCTTACGTATTTGTAAAGACAACATTCGTACAAAAATGTACACGACTGTATCATTGTTATTCAGACTAGAAAAGTTTGCGTCATTATCGATGAAAATGAAATGGAATTCAAGATAAAAGTGTTTCTGTAAGATTTGTAATGTGATTAATCATTCATAATTTAATTAAAGTGAATATATAATAATGATGCAATTTGAATGAAGTGAAATTATTTTCAATTAGTTCCTCATCAGTGGCTAAATAATGATATACATAGTGATTCCGACTAACTTAAAGCATCAAACACCTAAACATATCTAAGGTGATATGAATTACTTAGATTGATGACCACATTAAATTTTGAATAGTACTAAAAAAATAAACAAAAGTAACATAGGTCTCTACTCGCTATGCATATTCATGTTCCACCTATTATCAGCTTTATTTTCACCAATAAACTATCATTATAGGATTTACCGTTCTTGAGTTATGTCCAGTCTATTAATTACAATCTCTTACGTTCACAGACACATGGCTGGATCTTTTACACATGTAATTTTCTATTTTATGGTACAATGTGGTCTGTTGGGTTTGTATATAAACCCAGTATGTTTGAAATATATGATTCATATAGCAGAGGCTGAGATTGGTGTTCTGGACTTAACAGAAAGCAGGATTGATAAAGACTCTAGGTTACTCATTCGGGTTTTATGTGTCATTGGATTTGTTGATAAGTCACTGTTCTCTAATTGGCGATATCATTACATTATGTACTAATACGGCACAAGGCCACAAGTTGTAACACCCGATATATCTGACTTTGAAACCCAAATTTAAACTTCAATTTTAGCATATATTCGCTCTTATATAGTCAGTCTTAATAGTCATCTGTTTCGCAATTTGTTCTCATTGTAAACGTGTTAATTTGCTTACAATCATCTCAGTGATATTGATTTTATATTCAAATGCAAAACTACATATATAATGTTCAGCCGTGATGAGGAGCTAATTGAAAAGAAATAATCCTCTGCTCAAATTGTATTTTTAACATTTAAGTGATTTTCATTGTTATTGAAGAATACTCTGTTGTTATTACTATCACCCTTGTACAAGGTAATCAGATTGTTTATGATAATTTGAAACGCTTTTCTACGGAGTAACTAAGCCATGAAATAAAAAGAAAGAAATAATCAGTACAGTATACAGTCATGCTAAACCACTAATGAATTCGACTCCGATACATTTCACAGGAAAAATGAAGCGATAATAAATTAACTCAGGAATTAGTGTAATAAGACAAATCAAAGAAACTCCTAGAAATATGGAGTAAATATTCGAATTATTCTTACTAAAAATCACTGACAAAAAGAACAATCAGTAAACCACTGTTAGTCAGTAATCTCATACAAGTTTGCCATCAGTTTGAAACAACTAGTTCCCTTTCATAAACTATTTCTGTTATCCATTACTACAGTTATAAATACCTTCCTTTTTGGTAAATGTAAACTTCTGTCTAAATCTAAAACCACTAGTTTTTTCGTTCGGTCATTATTGCCATAAAAGGCATGATCAAAGAAGAAAACGCCTATAAATTAAAAACAGCATACTAGTGGGTCAAGCTATTCCTTTTGAAACATTAATTCAGTTTTATGACAATAGAACCTGACGGGAACACATAATGAAGTCTGAGTCAATTTCAGACAATTGATGGACGTTTTGCAAATTGAGCACTTAATATATGGTTGTTAGATTTTATTAACATGTTCTGTAATTTGTTGTCAAATACATTCGATTGTCCCCACCCGTGTTCTGTTCACTACAGTTGTAGTTAGAAGAATGAGTCAAAGCAGTGAAACAACATTGTGAAGAGATTGAAATAAAAGCTTCGTTCAAATAAACTTGTATCCTTCTGTACAATAGAGAACTTTTGAAATAATCAGAATTTGATCGAACCAATTTTTAACTGGCTAGTGATACGTTGTGAAGAATTAGACAGAATGTAACTTAGACAAAATGAACAATTCCACATCTAATCCATCCATTTTTATTATTTGTTGATAGTATTTATTTCAGTATATAACCAATATTTATTGTAATTATGTTTGAGTTCATTGATATCAATAATCTTCACATACACAAAGGAAAAAACAAGATCTTGAAATACAATACAATGAGCACCGTCCAAGTCACACTTAATGGAGATGTTCTGGAAGAAGTGGAAAGTTGTACGTACTTAGGCAGTATCACTGATAAACAAGAGAGAATCGATGAAGCTGTGAAGGCACAGATTGGCAAAGAAAGGGCAGCATCCTTACAAATGAATAGCATCTGAAACTCAAAACAACTTTCAGTCGCCACCAAAGTCATAATTTTCAACACAAACAACAAGACAGTTTTATTGTACGGAGCTTAAACTTAATAGGCTACTACAACCATCATCTAAAAAGTACAGGTATTTATAAACAGTAAGACACTGCAGATCCGTTAGCCAGATACCATCAGCAACAACATACTGTGGCAAAGAAACCAGCTCCCAGCTGAAGAAGGGAGTAGAGAAAAACAGAACATGGATAGTGCACACATTGCAGAAATCCTCATCACGAAGCAAGCCTTAATTTGGTGTTCTTCAAGGCAAGAAGAAAAAGAGACTCAAAAACACATTGACCAGGAAATTAAATGTAGACATTAAAATAATAAACATCATTTACTAGCAACTGAAAAGGAGAGTAGGAGATTCCCAGTCGGTGGCCTATGCTCAATGAAGGGTAACAGTAAGTAACATCAATAACCGATGAATAAGCTGATGTCAAATAAATAAAAATGAATAACCTATAGATTTATTAGTATAGTATTATAATAAATGAGAACCGGAAAATTTTCGAGAAAAATTACTCTCTCTAATGACCAGTTCTATAGGGAATATAATAAGTTTGTAAACTTACACAAATTGGTCAAAGTTGAAATTTCTGATTGTTTACTATTACAGGTCAAACTAATTGGCAGGAATTCAAAATATGGATAGCTATAACAAAGTGAGAAAAAAAAAGGAAAATGCATTTTCTCTGTTGTACACTTTAAAAAACTATGACCAGTTGTATATGATCTATACAAGTTTACCTTCCTTAAAGTATAATAGATAGCTACATACTGAGTGTTTTAAATTTATGATTTAGAAATTATTAAATGGAAAACCAAATATCTTGCTTTGGCGAGTAACACGTATAAACATAAAATACAATTCGATCTGCGTTTCAAGGACCAAATACTAGATTTCATTCAGGCAGAATCCGTAAACTAATACAGAGTGGATAGTTGGATAATTGGGTCAGTTGTCTTTTCAACTATGTAAATGTTACAGCCAACCTTCTTGATCTATTTAGGGCCAAGAGTATGCAGTCACGAAAATTCTATAAAATGCTTACAACATGTTTGGAAGTTAAGTACTAGAAAAATTATAAACAGAAATAGAAGTACTTGGCTTATTTCCCTCTTTGTTCATAATTTGAACAAACAAAAAATGACTACACTACAATTCATACATCGATTATATGACGATGAAAAACATAACACTTAAAATGGTATAAAGCTTTCGCAACTGAATGTAAGCCGCAGATACTGACCAATAAAAATCACCCAAAAGATCTTGAGAATAATTGTGATTTAGATGTATGTTAATATATTGCGTATATATATTACCTTTAATTTACTTGAAAAAAACGAACAAAGGTTTGAGCAGAATAAAATGACGCAGTAGCTATTCCGATCAAAACACCAGAGCTTTGAGCCCAAAAAAATATGTTCAACTGCTTGTTCCATCTTGACCAGCTTTTGAGCCAATTTGTCAACAATCATTTTGGTTATATAGAGACAAAGTTTGACAAATGTATGTATTTTCATAGCTTCAATTAATCTGAGTCACTTATCTTAGACGCTTGTAAACATTTAAGGAATGTAATTGGCACCCATCCCTATTTACTATATCTTACTTAATCCATATTTTTCTACTCATTATGTAATTGCAGATCAAATATTTGTTTTGATTTGCAATTAAATTATTATTTCTGTCACCCCCGAGTTATATTTTTCTGCCAATAATCCTGAATTTTACAAATTATAATTTTGAATGACGTATTTGCTTTGAACTTGGTTATTCCTTTTGAAACATTAATTCAGTTTTATGACAATAGAACCTGACGGGAACACATATCTGTGTTGTCAACATGAGTTTTTGTAGCAATTAAACAAAATGCAATTAGTGCTCCTGATGGTTTGTTATGACTGTGATACAAGCCGTTATATGCTATTTATTTGACGGAACAAAACTGATATAATCCGGTTCAATGAAGAAAAATAACACTGTTGATAAGAGATAATTTACGCACTACATACTACAGCTGATAAAACTAACATCTATTTTACTTCTTCTTAATAAATTTCTCAAATTTTTATTAACTACTCACAACTTGTAATAACTAAAAATCATAATTATAAATATTGATTAAAAATACACAAATGACTTTAATTAGAAAATGTTTTAAGTACACCACAGTATATTTCAATAGTTGAGATCATGAGTCAGTTGAAGTTTGAACAACATGGAAACACTGGACGGCCGTGTAGTCCTACTGTGGGACTCCTCAGTGGCAGTGCGCATCCATGATTTCGCCTTGCGACATTCCAACCCAGGACATATCAGTCTCGCACTTGAACGCTTAACCACCAGACCACTGAGCTTGTCGGCATCCAACGGTGTTAATGTTTAACTTCAACTAATTGAGCAACACATCCATCACTGTCTTCAGTGAGTTACTATCTCACAACAGACCCAGCTGAACTCCACTGGTCAACCAGTATAGTTTAGGAAAGATGTAAATAAATTTAAGGCAATTAACAAAAATATATTTAAAATACATTCCACAACAATGATAGCAACAAATGATCAAAGGACTACAATTAAGTGGTTACGTTTACTGATTTATACTGAAAATAATTTCCTATTGAGGTCATTTGTTTTATTAGAATGTTTGTCATTTATATCAGTTTATTTCAAATTCACTTAGTAATTTTTTAATTTTCAATGTATTATAAGATGTCAATAACTGATTAGAACTTAACCAAATGGGATGAAAATTAAACTATTCTCCTTAAGTCTTTGCTCTTAACCTCTTCAAGACAATATTGAACAATTAGTAATGATAACTCTTCCTTGTAATAAAATCTATGATGCTAAATAAAGTAGTTATTATCAGTAAGGTGCTTAGTCATTACAAATTTTAGTCAAAAACCAGACCATATATACAAATAAATGTTTATCTGTAATGCTAAATCAATTATTCTAAACATTGTCAGTTCCTCTGGACAACAAATTTTAATAAAGAGGGATCTATTTCAACTAATCCCTTCTACGTAACTATAGTCAAATAACTTAACTGTCGTTAAGGTTAAGCATGAAAATTAAACCTAAAATCCTACGTATGGTCGTAGCTGCGTGCTATTGAGTAGTTTAAAACTAAGCCAAAACAGTTGCCCAGTGCATCGTTCTCTTCAAAGGTTATCACTTCATGATTAAAACTGTGAATATTGATAATCATTTGAACCATCAAAAACGAACATTAACATTTCACATCAACAACAGTTTCTGATCTTATATCAAGATTAATTTCCGACAAATATCGAATATTTATTAAAGACTGTTGGAACACAAACCAACTAGAATGATCATTATTAGTGTTATTTTATCTGTTCCTGAATATTCATCAAGTTTTATTAGTAAAGTTTGAAGAATAAATAGTAATTTCAAAATGGTTTATTATGGTTTAATAAATAACAGACTTTGATAATAATAGTTATGACTGTGATGTTAAGTGACAATGTACCCTAGTAAACTCCAATTCTCTGTAATCATTTTGACGATTCAAACATAATACTGTGTATAATAATAACTAACTCCTCCTGAAGCCCCTCTGGGGCCACCGCCGGTCCCAAACCCGGACGATGGAGAAGGGTTAGGCATGGGCTTAGCGACCCCATCCCGTAGAAAACTAACTCGCTAAAAAGACGCTAACCAGAAAAAGTAATTCAAGCCATTTAAACTCTGCCCTAAGCGTTAGAAGGTCTTCATTTAGAAGAGTTATGACGTCTCATGATAAGAGCCGAGTTCCTTCAGAAGTCACAAGGCTGACGCCCTTTCTGACAACCACAGCAACCACTAATTTAGGTACATGGAATATTCTTACAATGTGGGGAACCGGAAGTCATAAAATAATAACTAATGAAAGTTGTTTCATTTTACAATTCACTTTAGAATTTCTTGTAGGTAAGTAAAAAAAATATAACAAATGTTACACTTTTACCATTTAGATTGTGCTTCATTTAAATCTTTTAATAACTGTCTTCTAATTTCATCATTTCGTTGAGATTTTTTTAAGAAATCATCTACTCGTTCAGTTCCATCAGTAACCGAATCTTTTACGTTTGTTTCAATATCTAATTCAATCTCTTGTATTTTGTTATTAGTTTTATTCTTCCTTTTTGACTTTTCATCATTGTCCTTATTTGATAATGCATCGGTATTTTCAACATTAGCACTAATCTTTTCAGCTTTTTTATTAATACGTCCATTTGTTGTTTGTTCTTTGTGTTGCTGTTTACGTTTAGAAGATTTCGTATTTCTAGTTTGATGTTTTATTGAACTTGGTGAATGTGGTTGACTTCTTTCTGTTGTGGGTTCAGATATCTCTTTTTTGTGCGTAATATGAAAGTATGCAACAACAAAATCATTTTAAGTAACAAAATCAAAGCGAATCTTGTTCAGTAAGTCTAAAATCATGAACTGACCAATGATAGACTACCATTGAAAACCTAAAAGCACTTGATGGCCGCTTCTTCCTACTATAGCGCTCTTCAGCAGTGAGCATTCACAACTCCGTGCGTCGGAATCGAAGACAAGACCTTCGATCTCGAGCACGAACGCTTAACCTTTAGACCACTGAGCCAGTATCTAATGGTGTTTTCGTCTAGCTTCAATCAATCCACGATGTCGGGTGACCATCTTCTATTGTCTTTGGTGGGTAACTGCATCAGTCAACACGGTCCAACTTCACTGGTCGCGGCTTCTCACTAGAACTTCATGAATTACCTCTTGAAGTTAGTCACTAGTGAAATTAGACGTTAACACTTGGAATCCGGCTCAATGGTCTGGAATTGAAGCGTTTGCGCTCGAGACCGAAGAACCTGGGTTTGATTCCAACATGCAAAGTCGTGGACGCGCGCTGCTGGGGGTGCTCACTCGGACGAAACAGCAATTCAGTGCTTCTAAGTTTTCAATGGTAGTCTAACATGGATAGGTTCATGATTTCAGTGAACTCAACATTCTACGCAACCCTATACTGAAAATTGATCTAAGCTACAAAATCTTAAATCTCAACCATCATAAAAATAATGGTATTAAACATTTTAGAAACTTTGTGATACATTTATTTTCACCATACAAAACAAATCAAAGTTTACAGTACTTCTGTATCGTTTTCTCTTTCTTTTGAACCATTTACAGTTGATCTAATTATCTAAACTTCTCAAAATAATAAATAACCACTTCCAAAAACAATAAACTAAATACTTCTTTCTGTCTTTTATCTGCCTTAGTAAACTTACGTTTCGCAGATTCAGGGCTTTCTGTGAATCCTTGGACGGATAGTGAATTCTTCTCATCAAGCTGTCGTTTAGGAAGGGCTGTTAAACAGGAAGGATAATTTCGATGTTCGATAAAGGCCAACTGATTTGTTTCATTAATTGCATCGGAATACAAATGAGTACCAAGATTTGAGTAACTTAAAAGATTAGCCTTATCACTAGCTTGCTTGAGTGCTGCTGTTACTGATTTACATGCAGGACCTTCAGAAATAAGTAAATGAGAACAAAAAAAGCAGTAGGCAAAATATTTACTAATAATCTTAGACTACTTCAATTTATTAAGTAGTAGAAAGAATGTAATTTAGATATATATTAAATTTTAAACCAGTAGTTCGACTGAAATTGGGCACCGAGTATATATGAAGATATAAAATGTAAAACTCATATTTTGGTGAACGGAGCAATCCAAATATAAATAGTTTTAACGTATCATCTAGCAAACTTGTCTGGACTTCTTCAGGGAAAATTTTGTAAAAATAAAACCTTTACATTTCATTGAAAGTTTTTCCAAACAAAGATATCACTATTGACAGGACTTCTTCAGTATCACAGAACAGACATCATTAAGTAAGGACAACATTTGTAAAGCTTTCTACACTTTTGATAACTTACAGATGTCCTATTCATTGATAAGGTTTTTTAAGTATGTGAATTGTTCAATTCATTTCAAACAGTTGACCATTTATTACTAAATAGAAGATTGTCTTCTATCTAACTTTTTCTCACTGGTTAAATCTGTACCTTCTAGCCAGAATAACAAAATTTAGGATATTCTATTAATTCCAATGTATACTGACCCTATAATCCATCTTTTCTAATATATGAAGCTTGCTTGCAAAGTTCCAAGTTATAATTAAAAACAGTTTTTGATTGAGATAGTGAATCGACCAACGTTAGACCATCATTAGAAGTCCGGAATCATCCGATGGCCGCTTTGTCCTAATATGTAACTCGGCAATGCGTCGAAGATTCCGCCCACAGGATTCGAACCCAGCCTCGGCCTCGCGTGTAAGTGATTAACCCTTACACCACCGAGCCAGCATCTAACAGTGCTAATGTCTAACTTGAGATGCTGGAGAAGATTTGTAGCTCAGGTGGATGATTTTGATGGAGTTTTGTTCTCTGAGCTGGATGGTTTGGTCGTGGAGCTTTCATCGTTCTTCTGAACGACATCATCAGCACAAACTTCAGATAGAAGTGAAGTGTTCGAATTTCTCCATATGCGTTTCACAGCTTGTTCTGTGCACCTCGATGTTGATTGGTTCTTATTGACCTTAAATTTGTCATTGTTTACCTTTTTGTCTTGGTTTTGTCTCCTATTGGTTTGATTCTTGTTCCTATATTTGTGCATAAGTTTCCTGATTGGTTGATAAATCGGATCGATTTCAATATGTTTGTTGATTGCTGATTGACCTGAGTGCCAGGCTTCTAAAAATTCTCTTGTGTTTTTAGAATTTCCTCTGTCCACGATTTCCACATTTTTCCAATCGAATGTGTGTCCGCAGTTGTCCACCTGTATTGATATAAGTGAGGAGATATCATGCCGTTTGACTGCTAATTGATGTTCATGTAAGCGCATGTGAAGGGGGCGTCCGCTTTGTCCGATGTATTGTTTGTCGCAGTTGACACAATTTATTTTGTAGATGATGTTCGATTTATCTTCTTTTGTTATTTCATCCTTTGGTTTGCATAGGATTGATTGTATTGATTTTGTCGGTTTGTGTGCCACACCTATCCCGAAGGTTTTTAGCAGTCTTGTTGCGGTTTCTGATATGCCATGTATGTATGGTAGGGTGATCCGTTTGTTGATTTTTGTGCTTGATTTGTGCTCTGATGCTGCATGTAGTTGGTATTTTTTGATGAAGTTGACTGGGTAACCATTCTTTTGAAATACTTCCTTTAGGTATTTCTCTTCTTTTCTTCGTGCTGCCAGAGTGGTGCAGTGTGACCTCGCCCTCTTGAACAAAGTTTGCACGCAGTTGATTTTATGTGCTCTTGGGTTGTTGCTATTGTAGTTTAGAATTTGATCTGTGTGGGTCGGTTTCCTATATACTTGAGTTTCTAGTTTTCCTGTGTCAGTTCTAGTGATTAATATATCCAAGAATGGTAGTTTGTTGTTTGCCTCCTGTTCCATTGTGAACTTGATGTCATCGAAGACGTTGTTGATCAGTTTGTATGTGTTTTCTAGCTCATTCTTTTTGATGATAACGAATGTGTCGTCTACATAGCGAATCCAAATTTTTGGTTTGATCACTGGTAATATCGCGGCTTCCAGTCTTTGCATCACTGCTTCTGCGATCAGTCCTGATATGGGTGACCCCATTGGTGCCCCTTTCGTTTGTTCGTAGATTTTGTTGTTGAATTGAAAATATGTTGTTAGGCATATGTCGATGAGTTCTAGTAGACTTTGACTTTGAAGTTTTGTGTACTTTGTGAGATTTGTGTCGTTGGCGAGGAGCAGGGATATAGTTTCTTTTGCTAACCTTGGTTCGATTGAGGTGAATAATGCTGTTACATCGAAGGATATCATTAGTTCGTCGTTGTTGATTTGAATGTCCTTAATTTGGTCCAGGAATTGCGTAGGGGATTTGATGGAGTGGTTGGATGAATCGACTAAGTGTTTCAGTATTCGTGAAATTTCTTTTGATAGATTGTATGTTGGCGTTCCGGGCAGTGCTACAATTGGACGTAGTGGAATGCTTGGTTTGTGTATTTTTGGTCTGCCGTAGAATCGGGGGAGTACTGGTCCATTGGATTTCATTCTCCATTGATCTTGTTTTGTTATTTCTCCTGCTTTGACTAGCTTGTTTAATGTCTTTGAGATTCTGTTGTCCAGTTTTTTGACAGGATTTATATCTATCCGTTTGTATGTGTTCTTATCTTCAAGTAGTTGTTCGGCTTTTTTGAGGTATTCCTCTTTGTCCATAATTACTGTTGTGCGTCCTTTGTCCGCTGGAACTATGACAATATCCTTTCTAGTTCTAAGATTCTTCAAGGCTTTTTGTTCTTGTGGGGTCAGTTGGTTGTTTTCTTTCACTTGTTGCGTTAGCGGTACTATAGTTTGCCTTATTTCTTGTTGTGTTTCCTCACTGAATCCAGAAGTTTTGAGTGATGACTCCAGTGCTGCGAAGAATTCTAGTTTTGAGGCGTCGCTTGTGTTGTGGTTTAATCCTTTTTGGAGTAGGCGTTCTTCCGTGTTTGTTTTGATAGATTGATCACACAGTTGTTTGTGTTTTCTTCCTTTGGTGCTTTTGAAATCTTGATTAGTTTTTTCTTTAGGGTGTTTCTTCTTTGTTCTCTGTGTCGTTTACATGATATCTCGATGGCTGTTGTCAAGATTTCTAAATGTTCTGACGTGAGTTTCCTTTGTAGCTTCATCTTTTGTTCCTCTATGACGTGTTGGTATTTGCGGATTCTGTAATGTGCATCTGTTATCATTAGGTGTACCATTTTCCTTCCACTTTGCTCAGCTATTTTCCATCCTAATGGGCAGTTGATTGGAGGTCTATATCTTACACTTGTTGGTAGAACATGCTGGCGAAGACACTCATGGAGAAAATATAGTTATTCTCGAGTGGAAGCTTGCCTTTTGGCGAAATTCTCCCATTTTCGAACAACGAGAAGCGTACCACGCTCATATGATTTTGAGATGGTGGAGAAGATCATAAGGTGTACCCCACAAGAACAAAAAGCCTTGAAGAATCTTAGAACTAGAAAGGATATTGTCATAGTTCCAGCGGACAAAGGACGCACAACAGTAATTATGGACAAAGAGGAATACCTCAAAAAAGCCGAACAACTACTTGAAGATAAGAACACATACAAACGGATAGATATAAATCCTGTCAAAAAACTGGACAACAGAATCTCAAAGACATTAAACAAGCTAGTCAAAGCAGGAGAAATAACAAAACAAGATCAATGGAGAATGAAATCCAATGGACCAGTACTCCCCCGATTCTACGGCAGACCAAAAATACACAAACCAAGCATTCCACTACGTCCAATTGTAGCACTGCCCGGAACGCCAACATACAATCTATCAAAAGAAATTTCACGAATACTGAAACACTTAGTCGATTCATCCAACCACTCCATCAAATCCCCTACGCAATTCCTGGACCAAATTAAGGACATTCAAATCAACAACGACGAACTAATGATATCCTTCGATGTAACAGCATTATTCACCTCAATCGAACCAAGGTTAGCAAAAGAAACTATATCCCTGCTCCTCGCCAACGACACAAATCTCACAAAGTACACAAAACTTCAAAGTCAAAGTCTACTAGAACTCATCGACATATGCCTAACAACATATTTTCAATTCAACAACAAAATCTACGAACAAACGAAAGGGGCACCAATGGGGTCACCCATATCAGGACTGATCGCAGAAGCAGTGATGCAAAGACTGGAAGCCGCGATATTACCAGTGATCAAACCAAAAATTTGGATTCGCTATGTAGACGACACATTCGTTATCATCAAAAAGAATGAGCTAGAAAACACATACAAACTGATCAACAACGTCTTCGATGACATCAAGTTCACAATGGAACAGGAGGCAAACAACAAACTACCATTCTTGGATATATTAATCACTAGAACTGACACAGGAAAACTAGAAACTCAAGTATATAGGAAACCGACCCACACAGATCAAATTCTAAACTACAATAGCAACAACCCAAGAGCACATAAAATCAACTGCGTGCAAACTTTGTTCAAGAGGGCGAGGTCACACTGCACCACTCTGGCAGCACGAAGAAAAGAAGAGAAATACCTAAAGGAAGTATTTCAAAAGAATGGTTACCCAGTCAACTTCATCAAAAAATACCAACTACATGCAGCATCAGAGCACAAATCAAGCACAAAAATCAACAAACGGATCACCCTACCATACATACATGGCATATCAGAAACCGCAACAAGACTGCTAAAAACCTTCGGGATAGGTGTGGCACACAAACCGACAAAATCAATACAATCAATCCTATGCAAACCAAAGGATGAAATAACAAAAGAAGATAAATCGAACATCATCTACAAAATAAATTGTGTCAACTGCGACAAACAATACATCGGACAAAGCGGACGCCCCCTTCACATGCGCTTACATGAACATCAATTAGCAGTCAAACGGCATGATATCTCCTCACTTATATCAATACAGGTGGACAACTGCGGACACACATTCGATTGGAAAAATGTGGAAATCGTGGACAGAGGAAATTCTAAAAACACAAGAGAATTTTTAGAAGCCTGGCACTCAGGTCAATCAGCAATCAACAAACATATTGAAATCGATCCGATTTATCAACCAATCAGGAAACTTATGCACAAATATAGGAACAAGAATCAAACCAATAGGAGACAAAACCAAGACAAAAAGGTAAACAATGACAAATTTAAGGTCAATAAGAACCAATCAACATCGAGGTGCACAGAACAAGCTGTGAAACGCATATGGAGAAATTCGAACACTTCACTTCTATCTGAAGTTTGTGCTGATGATGTCGTTCAGAAGAACGATGAAAGCTCCACGACCAAACCATCCAGCTCAGAGAACAAAACTCCATCATAATGTCTAACTTCAACCAATACCAGTCTCAACCTGACATGGATTAGCTCCACTGAACACGGCTTCTCACTAGAACCCCGAGAATTCCCTCACAGAGCTAGTCACTAGTGAGCACAAAGTTACTAATAGTGGTCTAATATCAACCGATTCATGATCTTAATCAAAAACTTAATAATCTCTACAACCCCTAACTGATAAAATAGTTTTTGTTAACTGATTGCAGTATTTGAAATAACGCTAATGGATAATTAGGATTATTTTCGGATTTAAATTTATGAAATTGAAAATTCGAATCATCACTAGATCTGCTATATATTTCTCAATTCATTTATAACAGACTCGTTTTGAATTAATAGTGAAGGAATATATTGAAATCTCACTTAGTTACTGGACGCACAATTTCAAATTATGTACCATTTAAACGATCGCAAATTTGTCGATTAACTGACAGCTAGTCTTCGTTTGCGCGAACTCATTTACTAAGACATTCAATTATAATTTAAAGTTAATTTTGATCACTCTACTCAGATGTCATTCAGAAAATTATTAAAAACCAAAATGCACTGGATAACAATTGATCGTTTATTGATTGTGTAACATTTTGTTTTGAATTAATTCTATTGTAATATTTTGTTTGTTTTATATTAATGATACATTTCTTTATTGAATAATTAATGCAAGTAAATCAGTGTACTACTAAGAAATGAAAAAAAATCCTCAATTTTGAATGGACAAATACATCATGATCTACCAATAATGTTTGTCATTTTCTTTGGGTCGAGTTATATCAACCTCAACCCTAGTCATATCATAGTATTTTGTTTTCACATTTAGATCATAGATATCACAGTACTGTCTAACATTCAACCTGGACAACTCTTAGGTTAGGTTTATTAAAGCTCCTGATATACAGAAGTTAAAACCATTTTGTTTGTTTAAAAACATATTGTGCTTACACTAAATCTACTCCAGTAATATTGTTATTCATATTGTTTTCGATATCATTTTTCTTATTGTCTCTGTCTTTCACTTATCTTCTTGTTTGTTTAGTCGACCTTTGATTTTTCATATTTAAATGCCTTAGCAAGTTAATGTGCGATAAGACTTTCTTAAATAAATTGTATTAATATATTATATAATTTTGATGAATTATGTTCTTATTACATAATTTAAATTTATGGAAACGACTAAATAATTAAATCTCTTTTTTCTCAGAGTTGAATAGAATATATATATATTAGAAAAATTGTTGATAAGCAAAGATGGACAGTGACCAGCAGCGGAATTCAGGACACGCGTTTCGTGGTATTTGGGACGCGTCAGCTGGATGTACCTATATCTCAGAGTTGATGTTCATTCTGGGACTCAAACATAGTACTGTTCGTTCCAAACGCCATCGCGTTATCCACTTAGTTACTGAGTGCTGATAGCCACCTTCTTGTGCAATAGGGTGAAATTTTAAATTTACTTGGTATTGCTTACTTGTATCTTCCCATTGAATCTAAAAAATATTGTTGTTTAAAATAATAATAAGACACGATGAGATTTCAAAAACTTTCTCACTTGATGGCATTACTGGATATTTAATTCTTCCTAATAATAAAGGCGAACTAAGCTGAATTTGATTTTCATAAAATGATTTTCGCTCGATCAGATTAACGGATATCTCCTACAATAAAATAAATATGAATTGCTTTTTTCATCTAAATTATCTAATTAATTAATAGTCAATTGATAAACAGTATTATCTTAATACATTTTTTGGAAATAAACTCTAATATGCGCTACAACATCGACAGTTACTAAATTTCTATTGATTATATGGATCTTGATGTTAGAACAAAAGATATCTAAAGTGAATGACTAAAGCTACAACGTAAGACCAAGCACATATATGTATCAGTCCAAGTTGCCACACCTCATTAGTACAGCAAGATGAACACCGGATTCATAGTAGTTAATTCAGTGGTGGTAGTATATAAAAAAACATTGCATATAAGGACATAATACAGCGAAAAAGAATTTGTTTGTAGAAAGAGAGATATGAAGCGATTTTAATCTCGTAGTTTAAAGGAAGCCAGAGAGTGTATGCACCTGCGCCATTGTGATCGATTCTGAATCATGTCACAGAGTTTCCAACCATTAGTTACGGTAGTCACGCGGACCCAAACCAAGAGTTGTGCATACATTTAGTTTCCCTGATAAGTTTAAACAATATAAACAATATGATTTAGAAAAGTGAATTTAGTTAATCATTAATAAACATATGTTTTGTTATATTTCAATAAGTAGAAAAATTGTACTTCTGACGTTTCATAACTTAATGAAAGCCACTTCTTCAGAGTAGATAAATACCAGGAATTCGGTTATTTATATACTCTGAAGAAGTGGCTTACATTAAATTACGAAACGTCAGAAATACAATTTTCCTACTCATTGAAATATAACAAAAGAATTATTTATTACTAACTCTTTAGATAATGCTTAATTTATTTTACACTATCAAATCCAAACATGACATTGATACCTATGGATTAATTATTCTTCTTATTAACTGCAAATGATAATAAATATATTATACGTGCAAAACAATCACGTATAATGTAACAGGTTTCGGATTTTGGCGCGAAATTCATACATCCATTTGGATAAATGGAGTTTTGACATTATAGCTTATGTCAGTTCGTGATGAAAACCCGAAATCTAATTCCTAGCCTTGATTGTCAACTGTAAATTATGATTATAATTCCTCACATAGGTTTATAACCCTCATTTGTCCGTAGTTATTGAGTGGACACGCTCAAGGTCAGTCTAGTGTCCCTTTAAGGTTCTCCATAAATTATAGTCTCATCAAACAATCTTCTACTACTACAAATTACGCATTATTCGATCATAAAATAGATAATCATAATTCTTAATTAACCAACAATTATTCACCTGAGTTGAAGTTTCCACGCTAGATGTGGATGTCCTTGTATTTTGAAATTCTTGAACGATTGGTAAAATTTCTTTCATCCATACATCTACTGGTAAACGGTAAACTTCTAACCAAACTTTTGAGTTAATTGAATCTGTCGAAATTTGATATACATACATGTATATATAATATTATTTAAATCTAAGTTTTATTTAATGGGTATTTATAATAATTTTTAGATGAATGAAATATTTTGTACTACAATTAATTAGTATCAAAAGAGGTTTTGTGGATATTACAGTAATTTAGTAGTTGAATTCATGAATCAATCGAAGCTAGATCACTATGGAAAACCTGAAAGCACTGAACGATCGATTGATTCTCGTATGGGACTCCTCAATAGTGGGCATCCACGATCCCACCTCGCGGGATTCGAACCAAGGACCTATCAGTCTAGCACGCTACCGATTAACCTCTAAACCACTGAGCTGACCGGCATCCAACGGTATTAATGTCTAACTTCAACTAATCCATGAAATTAAACGACACATCCACTATTGTCTTCAGTGAGTTACTATCTCACAACAGACTCGGTTGAACTCCACCGGTCACAGCTTCTCACTAGACCTTCGGGAAATACCTCTTGGAGGCCGTCAGTAGTGAGTATATGTTGATTAATATCATAAGGGGTTTTGTGGATATTATTGTAATTTTAATAGTTGAGATCATGAGTCAATTTAAGCTAGACAACCATGGAAAACCTGGAAGCACTGGAATAAACAATGTGATAAATGGGAAACAGTTATTTGGTTAATATTTATTTTTAATAAAGCAATTGATTGTAATTATTATTTAAATGTTGATGACAGTGGCTGTCTAGTCTCAGATAGGCAAAGTGAGATCTATCTTCATGAATTATTGGTTGAAATTTAAACTTCAGGGTTAATTAGGCTTAAGCTCAAGACACGAGTAAGAGAATTATGATCAGGATTCAAACTCAGAACGTTCAGACCGAATAAAAATTTTAAGATAACGTAATTAGTATGCACTAACTCTACTATACACATAAAACAATTAATAAATTTATGGTTGACCAACAACGTATGAGATTTTTATAGCAAAATCTTTTGAATTTATTAAAATGAAAAATTTATTGGAATACATCTTTCATTGAAGCTCAGAAGTAATACTTCATAGTTATAATGGGTAGACGGATAGAGTTTAGTGTGAATATTACCACTAGAATGAAGGTACATTTTGTTGATGAACCCAAGAAAGGTACAGACGAGTCTTCTCTATTCTACTGCTAACCACATCCTAAAGTTATCGAGCCTCTTAGTTATTCATTTAAAGTTAGCTGTTATCTGAGTATAACCGGATCTAGAATAGCAAATGTTCAAATGACCAGTCAAATACAAAAGCTCTGAAAAATTAATAGACATAGTACTCTATATGGATGAACATTAAAATATACATCAATTTTAATTCTAACATTGTAGTAAACAAGAACTCGGGTGGAGAAAACCAATTTTTTATTCAATGCAAAATTACACAGCGGCTTAGTAAAAAAATATGAAAATCATACATTAAGTACATCATTTCCATATCTTTATTACATTAGCCTTTACATATATATATTACCTTCATTTAAAGTGATAAAATATTTTCCGCACGGTGAAATCTTCCCATTGAGTGCATGATATAGTAAACCATCGGATGGTAAGTTAATTTGTTTTATTGGAATAAATAACCCTTCGACAAACATCACAAGACTTATTTGACCTGAATAAATGAAATTTTGTAAAATAAGCCATGAAGTTTTACAAAATCAAATAATAAAGTTGTTAATAGTTATTTACGAAAGTGAGTTAAAAGGGATAAGTGAAAATTGAATTGATTTGTTGTGACTAATGTAGTTTAAATATTTTTGGAGTGATCAGTAACATTAGATGGTCGCCGTGCAATTTGAATTGTACCACTGGACACTGACCTGGTGGCTCTAATGGTTAGCCATTCTCCATGAAAGCTGACGGTTCTGAATTCGAACCCTGAAGAGGTCATAGATGTGCATTCGTATACTAAGAGGAAACAATTGTCCAGAGTTCCATGGTATTTACTTGTACCACAACTGTGGCTAATCTGTATTAAATACACCACAAATTGTTTAATTAACCAAGAATTTCGAACACTAACCATACACAACATTTTGTATTTAACTTTAAATCCTTAACAAGGTTATCTGGTTATGTGAATCAATGTAGAAGCAATATTTAGACCCACTAGAAAATGTTTAAAAATTGAGTAACCTAGGCTCTTCATCACCTTTTTACTTTATCGTGACAATTAATACTGAAAATAAGCACATGATTTGAAAAGATCAACAATTTTTTTGGATAAAACACACCAAATGAAACTGTCCCATAAAAGTAACAATTACTTGGACTCTAATAAATGCTAGTTTACAAATATACGACATTAGGTTGATGATTTTTTTTTTCATCCTCTTATTGATGGTTCATTTTAATTACCAAACAACAAATGCGCATCTTTGCTGAAAACCTTTTTAATCCCTGATAGTAAAATGTACAATAACAGTGATTACGTCATAAGTGTTGAATGTTTACTTGTACAGTCACTGTACATCACCTTTCAAAAAATAAACAGATAAAAAAATAACATATATTAAAAATTCTTATTTCTATCAGAATAAAACTTATTTGAAGGGTATAAACTTCACAGAAGTTGTACTACAAAATAACGCTGAAGTAGAAGAAAAGTTGTTTTCATTTAAACCCAATTCTAACTAAAAAGTTCTGGAGTCTATGTTCATTGAGGTATTGATTAAAAAAGAATAAAACAGATAATTATTTCCTCCTGATTGTGTTCTCTATTCAACTTCAGTAAATGTTATGAACTACTTTCATCTAGGACTATTTCCTCTAAAAGCCCATAGGACATATCTGAAGATAAAGATAACCAAATGAACGAACGATTCTTACATTTCTATTTGCGTTTTCATAAATATGTTGTTTCGGATTGATATTTGATACTAATATATGAAACAAGAAGGCACCATTAATCTGCAAATCACAAATATAAATTCTATTCCAAACATTTTTCATTGATTACTAACTATTTGTTGGTATAACTTGGAAACAAACTTCTGCCACTTATATAACCATCATTATTTTTTAATTTGTCATCATCAAACTCTCCCTTACCAATCATCTCTGCTCATCAAAACAGACAAAAAGGATTCATGTAGATGCGAAAGTGATTTTTCGTGGTGTTAATCCACTTTATCTCAGCATCTTAATTGACGGTACTGATCAGTGTTTCGCGTTGTATTTTCGCTGATTATTAGTCTAATTAGATCTAAACTATGTTGAATCTATGTCGGCATTTTTACTAAAGATAGGAAACTGTCCTTGTATTATTGCTTTCACTGTGTTCTTTAGAATCACCTTTCTAACTAAAATAATATAATTTCACTTACATTTTTGAGTCTAGAGTAGAACCAACTATCCAAATGTAAAATATTATTATATAAGGAGCCAATAATATTTAGTGAATATCCAAAAAATAGAAGACGGATCAACGTTCAAATATATCAAAATACTTCAGTCATTGTGGAATGATAAAAATCAAGATATTTTGATCAGTGCTATGAATAGAAAATAATTTGCAGGCAACAAATTATTTTTGAGATGGTAGCTGCTACCTCCCGACCGTAGCTGCTACCTTGACGTGATGGTCGGGCTTGCCTATCGTGATGACCCAACCGAGCTATATTGGCTGAAACACATGTTCCTGCAGGTTCTACCATGCCAGGCAGGTCGATTGGAGAACGGTAAGACTAAAAGCAGCAACTCAAGGTCTGAGGGCGAAGTCGTACTACTGACTGTACAGAGGTGTGACAGCAGTAAGGTGTTTCCCTCGGACAACCAGCATCTGCAGCGATGCTGCCTTCTCACAAGGAAGGAAGGGGTTAGAAAAGGCTGACCCTAAAAATGTCACACCTCACCTTACCCCACGGATTTCCGTCTCCGGCGGTAAGGCCGTTTGAAGAACGGAGCTAACACATTAAAAACCTCCCACAAAAAGCCGTGCGCGACCGGCCTCAAGCAATTGTCCCTTGGGCTCTGCGGTCACGCACTCAGGTCGCTAAGACCAACACTAATCCGATTTCCTTTTCAGGTCCCTCAAGAAATACCCTTCCACGGTGTGGGCGACCGGAAAGTGATATCAGCCCTCATACCCGTAACAGCACACGAGACCAAGTTGGTCACATTCAAATCCTTCCTACACCTCCTAATAACTCTTTTATCTCCACGACTAACCCTTCTCACGTCCCTTTATCACCTCGCCCCGCTAGTGTGAACGATTCGAGTACGCGGAATCTTATTCCTGGTCTCCTGAAACCACGCTCCAAACTACACTTAGGACCTTTCAACGTCCGAACACTGTGCCAAATAGGACAACAGGCTTCCTTAGCTAAGACTTTAGAATCTCGCTCCATCGATGTGTGCTGCGTCTTCTAAACGCGCACACAGGATCCGATTAGTGTCATTCATTTAACCTCACTATGTCAAAATAAAGAACCAATTCGATTCACGCTTCGTGTATCTGGAAGCCCTGATGCTGCTTCTCGTGGCCTCGCTGGTGTAGGTGTAGAATTGAGTTTTAGGACAGAACTAGCTCTCTTAGACTGGATCCCAGTAGACAGTCGTTTGTGTGCTGTCCGACTAAACGGAACAGTAAGGACTCGAAAAGATAGGGACACTCGTCGTTGCCTCTTCGTCGTCTCTGCCTACTCTCCCACCGACTGCAGCTCAGATGATGTAAAAGATGAGTTTTACAGAAAACTTTCCGACCTTCTCTGAAAAGCTAGGCGTTCAGATGTAGTAATAGGGGCTGGTAACTTTAATGCTCAAGTAGGTAAACTAAGCGAAAAGGAAAGACACCTAGGTGGATCTTATGGTGTCGCGGTTCAAAGAACAGATAACCGCGACCGTCTGTTGCAGCTATGCTCAGATAACCGCCTGTTTCTTGCAAACACTAACTTTAAGCATAAGGAAAAACATCTTTTAACATGGCGACCCCCTAATTCGTCTCAACGCTGGACCCAAATAGATCACATCGCTATCAGCCACCGATGGGGGGGGGCTCGACAGAAAACTGTCGCTCATTCTGGAGCACATACTTAGACTCAGATCATGCTCTAGTACGAGCGCGTATTTGTCTACGTCTTACTGGACGTAGGAAACATGCTGCAAGGAAACCCCTTAGGGTCCTACTTAATGATAGTCAAGCTAAGAGTATATTTCAGGAACATCTAGAAAAACAGTTAGACAGCCATGTAAGTGACGCCCACCCCGAGGCAGCGTGAAATGACATCCGAAAAGCTGTAGAAACAGCAGTGATGTCTGCAAGTACGGTAAACCATAAGGTTAGGGAGAAACACTGAATCTCAGCAGCATCTACCGCACTGATAGATGCTCGAAAACTCATTCCATCTGGCTCTGAACATAACGAAGAGCGGAGTCAGCTTAAGCGTAAGCTGACTAGAAGCCTACGCAAAGATCGTGAACAGTGGTGGGTAGCGAAAACAAGAGAGATGAAAAAGGCAGCGGCAGTAGGTAACAGCAGGCAACTGTTCAGACTTGTTAAGGAAACCGGTATTAGGAACCCAACTGTTAGCGAAACAATCGTAGAGAAAGATGGACATATTATTCATTCTCAATCCAGGAGATTGGATCGATGGGCAGAACACTTTAGGGATCAGTTCAACTGGCCTTCAGCAACACTTCGGTTTCCCACGATCTCCAGTCGACCTGAATGGCAGGTTGATGTAAGTCCTCTGACTCTTTACGAAGTTGAAAAAGCTATAGGAAATCTGAAGCGTGGGAGAGAAGCAGGCCCTGACAGGTTTACCCCTGAGATTTTTAAGGATGGTGGTTCAGTATTAGTAGCGAGATTGACTGAGGTCTTAGGTAGAATCTGGGAACTGGACGTAATACCATCTGACTGGTCTCAATCACTGATTGTACCAATCTATAAGAAAGGACAAAAGTCCTCCTGTGACAATCACAGAGGAATTAGTTTGACTTATATAGTGTCTAAAATATTAGCTTCAATAATACTTCGACGTCTAACCAAAGCTCGTGAAGAGCAGACTAGAGAAAACCAGGCTGGTATTCGACCTGGACGTGGTTGTATTGATCAAATATTCACACTACGTCAGATCCTAGAGCATAGACACACATTCAGACGCCCCACAATGGTAGTATTTCTCCACCTTAAGGCGACATTTGACTCTGTTGATCGTGTGGTTCTATGGCAGTGTTTGTCACTGAAAGGAGTACCAAAGAAGTACATTAACCTTATAAAGGCTCTCTACTCGAACACAACTGGTCGAGTGAGAGCTTATGGCGAACTGTCATCAGAACTGATTACCTCAAGTGGTGTTCGTCAGGGCTGTCCACTCTCTCCATTCTTGTTTAACTTTGTCGTTGACGTCCTTTTAGAGATGACACTTTCCTCATCTAAATTTCCAGGAGTTGAACTTCTACCGGGAGATCGACTTGTTGACTTAGAATATGCCGATGACATAGTTCTATTTAGTGAAGACGTTCACAGAATGCAGAGTCTGCTGACCACTCTAAGCAACAATGCAAGCATGTTCGGCATGCGATTTTCTCCCTCGAAATGCAAAATGTTGCTTCAGGATTGGGTTGCATCGACACCCGAACTAGTGATAGGGAGTGAAGTAGTTGAGCGTGTCGACCGCTTCACTTATCTCGGAAGTCTCATCAGCCCTTGTGGTTTGGTGTGTGACGAAATCTCAGCACGGATACAAAAGGCTCGACTAGCTTTTGCCAACTTGCGTCATTTGTGGCGTAGGCGAGACATCCGTCTACCAACCAAAGGACGTGTTTACTGTGCAGCAGTTCGTTTCGTCCTACTTTATGGCAGTGAAACATGGCCAGTAAGAGTAGAGGATATTCGTAGGTTACTAGTATTTGACCATAGGTGTCTTCGAAACATCGCTCGTATATCCTGGGACCACCGAGTAAGTAATGCAGTTGTTATGAAACGGGTACTAGGTAAGGATGGCAAATCAATTGAGGAAGTAGTGAAACTTAATCAGTTGAGATGGCTGGGACATGTGCTGTGCATGCCCGACCACCGACTGCCCCGACGTGCTATGTTTTATGGTGTAGGAGTAGGTTGGAAGAAAGCTAGGGGCGGCCAGACCAAAACATGGCAGAAATCCATGAAGTAACTGACAAGTGAACTGAGTCATGTTGGTAGGTGTAGACTACCTGGTCGGGGACCGCGAGACGATAGCAACCGATGGTTAGAGACCTTGAATGACATGGCTCAAAATCGTTTGCAATGGCGCAGGTGCATCCACTCTTTGTGTTCTCTCAAACTCTAATCTTCTGAATTCTTCATGTCCTTTATTCTCTTTCCCAATTTATTCCACTGGACTATACTCCTTTAATAACACCATCAAACCTTAATGTCCCCTATCTCTTCTTATACTTTCAGTACCTCTACCACTACGGGATTTGAATCGATAACTGAATCTCTGTGCTAATGTGGTATGGCAACTCGAACTGATGTACGTACGTACGAAGTTCTACGTTGTTACTGACTGACTGACTGACTGACTGATGTAATAATATCTTCCGGACAAGGAAACGTTTAGTCACTTGTAAGCAAAGAGAGATTTAGTAACATATCGTCATTAAACAGAAGCATTTTTATAACACAATTAGTAATTATTTAATCAAACTAATAAGTTAAAAACTCAAGTAAGTTAAGAACCAAAAGTTTACCATTTAATTATAAATGTTTACCTTATCTGTAACAAAACCATTACACAATACTTATATTACCTGAGTCATTTATAATAAGCTGCAAAATAACATTTTTATCGTATTGAATTGTTTTAAATGTACGTATTACGCTGCAACTGTTAAGCCCATCCAAATACTTCCATTCCGAAATCAATTTTAGATCATTTAGACCATATACACTAATTTGATTTTCAAATATTTTAAATAAATATTGTCCGACAATTGTAAATATGTGAATATTCTCAATGTCCTATAATCAGAATTTTTTATTAGTATCTTTGTTAAAAACAAATTTTATTTCCAACCTACCACATTCATATCCAGTTTTTGTAAACATGACTGTTGGAAATTGAGTTCCTCACTTTTATATTTCTCTTTTGTTTCAATTAAATTCCATGTTTCCTCAAATATACTCCATAATAATTTGTCTAACATTTTAAATGGCATCGGTAAATCATCGAATGTTAATTTAGGATCAGTGTCGAGTGTGTCTCGAAGTGATGATGAATCCATTAGTGAAATTGGATGATTTAATGATTTAACTTTGGTTTTTATTTTCTAATTAAATAGAGGAATGTTAGGTAAATGACATGTATTTGTCAAGCTAAGTTACACTAAACTTCAAAATACATTACTATTAATCCATACATCAATTTATAAATATGAAATATTTATGTTGTTATATCATTTATAAATTACCATTATTTTCCTAACTAAGCTTGTTCTTTGCACTTCAGTTAGTAGTCGGCTAAGTCCATATTGTTTAAAGTAAGTAAATTTACCTGGCTACACCAAAGTGATCAGTGTTTAGCTAATCTATGTTTAATATTGAATTTTTAATACTAGTTTCATCGATTTGAATGTTTTTAATTTTAACTACTTTTGTGTACCATTGAACAACTTAAGTATGTATAACTCCATAATTTAAGAAGTTAAAAAAAACATTTGTTTAACCTCAATCTATTTTCGGTGGGGTACTTAAAAAACTGACTACAAAAGCCTTTATTTCTAAAAATAACAAATTTAGAGTACATGGTAAAGTGTCAGCTTCATCTCGGCATTCCACAGTGCACATGAGCTACTTTTATCAGCTTGCTTCTATCCAGATAAGTAATATCCCTTTTATCTATTTTCCTCTTCGAACAAATATACTGGTTACCCCCGATCGATATCCTCTTATTCTTTATGAACTTTTGACTTGATCTTCATAAAATATCACGTGACTTATTTTAAACTAGACGTCAATGTCCTTATTTTCTACTAGAGCCGGGTATTTAAGGCTTTCTGTTTACTTCATATAATTATTTCTTACAACTATGTTGCGCCTTTTGACATTAGGCCGCTATAAATTGCTTTATATTCCTGATTCGAATTATTTATTTATTCCGACATTATCGTTTTTGAAGAGATATAGAACGCTACAAGGAAAACGTCAATAAAACAGGAAGCCCATTTTTTATCATTTATCTGCAATTTTACGAAATGTATTGAAAGACTTGATCTAATTTGATCTTTATGGTCTTATCTTTTAAGACAATGAATTTCATGAACACCCGTCATATTTTCTGTGACTCTATTTCCCAGAAAATGTATAAAAACTTACTGTAGCACATGTTAAACGGTGTGCTAAATTCATCTGTATGATAAGATGAGGACAATGAAGCTATACGGATACGCATCTGATATTTCAACTTAATAATTATTCACTCAGCTTTGTTGCGTTTTTGATTAGTGAAATGTACCTTCTTCTTTAGTTAAATTGTCTAATGTCCTTTCTCGATTTCAGCCACTACATTACCCAAATACTGGTGATTTGATGCATAGATCACAGAAACCGTCAATACAATTCGTCTATCTAAATTTGGTTAAAAGCAGTGTTTGGAACTGAAAGCATGTATTGGAAAAATATAAACTTAAGTATGATGTGCTGAATACAAACTTATTTTCAGTATTAACGTTCAGAAGTAATACACTAAGGTTCCAAACTTTCAAATCAATTCATTGTTGTGGATTGCAAATTATGCCAAGTGTTCTTTGAAATATGTCGGTTGACGTATCCACTTAAATCTTTTATACCAATGAAAACAATCAGGCACAAATCCAGTAGAGTCTCAAGTCATGACATTGTATTAGTTTTAGTGTATCAAAGCCTTGAGTGTAGGTCGTGCAAATCACACTTTAATGAAATTCCGGTTTCGTTTGACAGGTACACGATCCACATTGTAAGTGAATTTATGGTACCTTGTACCGATTGAAAACATCTCTAAATGTGTTTGTCGGCGAACTAATTTTCTCAAACCAACCATTTGCTTAGTCCTTACTCAAAACATAACTTTAAAACATCGGCGCACATTTCAATACTTTTAATCAGTTCTTGGTCCATTCCACAGCATCAGTCAAACATGCTATCCTCCACGTCTGAAAAGTTAACATACAGTTGTCATCTTTAGATTCCCCTTTTTAAAGATTTGGGAATCTGCTCTAAAACTCCAGACGGAGCTTGAAGGCTCACATTTCAAGGTTTACTTTTTATTATCTGGACGTTAAATATTATTACATGGAATCTGCCGTGCCGCTTTATAGCAAGAACAGGGAATTACTAAGATTTGCAAACTATTCAATCTTATATCAACACTGCTCAGCTGAGCTGAGATATAAGTAATACTTATAAATTTGGCACCAAATACATGTACATCGAACACCCAGGTGGAAGTACAGGTAAAATAATTAAAACATCTCTGCAATTATTCATAAGCTTGAGGTTAAATCAAATTAAGCTTTGAACACATCCATCTACTAAATTTTGGTTGCAGCTAAAGGTTTGTAGTGTCTTTAGTATCAGATAAACATTTCGTAAATATTAGCTGTATTGTGCATAACCAGAACATCCCACTGATGTCCTCATGGTTTTTTTCTTGAATTCTCACTCTATTCCATCCATGACTGCTAGAGTTCTTTTTAGACAGATGTGAAAATTTTAATGTTTTTAGCCGCAATCTATACAAGTGCTAATTCCATAGTTTTAGAACAGTACGAGAGTAACAAATAACTCTTACAAAGATAAAAATGCTACGAAACATTCTCACTATTATAGCAGTGATGAAATCAAAGATTGGAAACAATACGCCGGTCAGAACATCCTATCTGACAGATGGTTTCGTCCTCCCAAAAATATTTTAGAATAGTCCAAAATATGTGGTTATCTGATATGCTTAGATTATCACATGATAAATAATTATAAAATCCATATCTTCACACAGTATTACCACAAATCTAAAAATATTAGTTATGATATATAAAATACTGACAAATGACGTCTAATTTGATATAATCTCTCTTTCTCTTCCAACAAGTTTGTGGCAAAAGATATGATACAAAGGGGAAGTTCACAATGTAAGAACGATCAATAATATTATGCAGTGTATTTTTTAGGTGAAACTAAAGTATAGGGATGAATCAATCAGATTTCAGATACAGCCTCTTGAACTCATAAACGAAGTTCATCCATATGGCTAAGCGGAGTTCTTGCGTTATAGCCTACATCACTTCGTAATGGAAACTTGGTAGAAGTAAAATATACAAGCAAATCAATCAGATTTCGGTCTAAAATTCATTCCTGCAATAAAGTTGATATTAGTTCGTAACTAACACACTAATCATTCGTATACAGATATTCATTATTTGCGTTAAACCTGTGTACTAATCAAAGTTCTATTACCTTCTCATAGTAATTGTTTTCTATTTCGTCCATACTTTTTACTTCCATCGACAACCTTAACCCTAATTTCTTGGGAAGTTTTACAAAAATCTTTCAACAATCGTTGATTGCAGTTCTACTGCAGAATTTAAGTGACGAGAATAGTGCTCCTTATTAATCACTGGGGGACGGTTAACTTGTGCTTTTTATTGTTCCAATTTTCCATATTGCTATCCATTTTTGTTAGACAAACACTTTTTAAACATACATCCACATTCTCAATTGGATCTAGGGAGTTGAAATAAATTAGACGTAGCAGATAAAATATTGTATGAATTAGTCTTTCGTTTGAAATGAGACGAATTCCTAATAAATATATAAATATTTAAGAACCCTCGCATAAACTAAACCTATTCTCTTTTTAGATTACGGTCAAACATAATCATTTCTGTCGGCTACAATGTTGATATTAGACTGATACCTGGATGCAAATAGTTTTGGTAACTTTAAGTGTAATTCATTTATATGAGTGTTTTTTCTCATAAAAATCACTATTTAAATCATGTTGACTGCATTGAAAATTCGGTTGGCCTGGAGAATTAATGGAAAACCTTAGTAGACTATTCAGAGATAACTTCGGATAAAAATATGGGAACCAAGCGTAAGCTAAATTACTTGACATTTAGACTGTAGACAATTCGTGCGATATGTAAACCAATTAGTGTAAATGTACCAGATAAATAGACAATTTTGCGTCGAATTATGGGTAAAAAAAGACTTTTTGTTGTTCATTTGAGCGAAAGTTAAGGTATTGATCTTGAGACATTTCCCATAGGGGTTAGGAAAAGCTCAACAACTGGATGCATTTTTGCCTAAGTTCACATCAACTCTTGTTGAGAAGTTTTCACAGCATTTCCCCAAATTTCGAACTTACTTCCTCTATTTTGTTTGTTATTCTGACTCTTGACCCTGACTCCTAATCTCAGTCCTTACAACTAGTTTTTAACCTTTATTTGACCCAGGCAAGTGGTCGAGACTTCACGTCTTGTTTAAAGTCACTCAATGTTGTTCCTTAACTCTAGTTCCACCCTTTGATTATAATATCAGAAGAGATTATATATAACCTATATATGTCATTCTTCCATAATCTCCCTATTTTTGGAGAAAATTTTCTTCGGTTTGATGAAAGTTTCGGAAGTGGCACTAAAACCCAAAAATTTTTCCTGTCTGGGGAAAATCCCCAGAATGTTCGTAAAAATTCCGAGTTTTTTGCAATATTTTCACGGAATCTTATAACACTTTGGGTTTTTCTTTATAGTTTGGGGGAAACTACCATATTTGTGGAAAACCCCAAAATTTTCACAAGATATTGAGATTGAAATCCTATGGGTCTGTAGGCCAACTAAAAATAAGATAACAGAACGGTACTAACACGGACGTTTACCCTCCGTGCTTAAAACCACGGTCAGGGTTTCCATCACGAACCGGTATCGACTACACTAAAATATTATAGGGTCACGTTCCCAATTTCACTAGATAGTGAGACTAGTCTTGGATGATAACAAAAGTCAATAAACTTCAGTTCACTGAATGCCAAATAACCACCAAAAAGTAAAAAATGACTTCTTATGGTGTTCATGTGACTGAAAATTTGTTACTTTGAAAGCTCTCTCACCATCTTCAGTTAATGCGAAATTCTTGCTGTATACATTGGTTACCTTAATGTACAATGACCTAATTATTTGGATAAGAAAAACAAACTTATACACGACATCGAGTTATACACAATATTTAAAGTTGTTTTATTCCATTCCCTGGTCGCTTTTAATGCTTTCGTTACTTTGTTACTTTCAGTCCAAGGACCAATAATTCAATCCTGTGTATCCAAAATGTCTAATTGCTGAGGAAGTAATAATAATGTGATTTACGCTAGTTTTCACTTCAGATTCCGAGACTTTTTCTTAATACAAGAGGGTTCTGATTAATTCATCAGATTCTCAAACTTCACAGTTCTTTACTTGTCATGTAGAGAATGGAATAAAAAAATTACGCTTTCAAAGTTAATTCTCACGAAGTAAAAAACATACAACAGTTCTGCTGAATTTTACTTAACTTATGTTTGACGTTTTAATGATTGTGAATTTTCAGTTTTCTTTCATTCATCGAGAATCTTTAATAGTCGAATTGTCTTCTTCCTCTATTGTAATTTAGTTTCTCTTTCTGAATATCTGTGATAAACTTCTTTGAATCTTGAATCCGTAGTTCTTTTTAATCAAGTACTCAGTTGTGACCGTGATATTGCACTAAGGCCTAAATGTCATTCGCCCCGGTACCGAATGCAAATCCTATGTAATGTTCAGCAGATTAAAATACCTCTGCCGATTTTAAACCTATAAGGTTGGTGCAAAACAATGAAAAATATGTTTGCTGACAATTTATCGAAGTTAGTATCTGCATGAAGTGATCTGTATATACATTACACCAATAGATAGTTTTGCAGTCTACAATTTAAGTTAACCCAAGTGGAATCATATATAACTTCAGTACACTCATTCCTTAACTTACACTCATGAACGCTCGGATGAACTTAGGTAATTGTACCGCCTCCTTTTCTATGACGTCTGTTGGATCGAAAGAAAATGTAGTTATCTACGTTTAAGAAGTGGTCAGGGGCGTACAATTTGTACTAAATTTCCATATTAAGTACACTGCTTCGATTCACGAGGACTAAAAGGATTTAAGATGAGTAAGTCTTTTGGAGAGAGAGCAAGTATTGAAAAAACGAATAAGAAACTGGGGAGTATCATAAAAGCCCAGGTTAGAGTATAGATCATAAGCAGTAGTTCCGTGAATACCCGTGGTAATTTCCAAGGTAAGTATTGTGTTACAAGGGGATTAGACTCAGTAACATTTTATCATCTGTGATATGTTTATCGTAGCCGACAGAGAAGACGTTGGAAGTGCAAATAAAGTCTCCTGATTGTTATTGACTTTATATGATAATTAGGAGTAATTGAGTTATAGTATGAACTAAGAATCCCAGGGATAACGCAATCGAATCAAGAAGTATTACACAAGCACTAACGAATGTATTGTATTTAGAATTCGAAATCAAACATTCAACAAGTACAAAGGAGTCATTAGTTCATTCAAACACCACATCCGCCACAGCTTAAATTAGAGTCTAAGTGTCTGTAATCAATTGTACGTCTTCTTCTCAAGTTCATACTGTGTCTGTCCGACAATGTATTGGATAAAGACTCTGTATTATCTAGAATGCACTCATTATTATTGGAATTAACAACTGAAACCGGAACGGACTCACCTGGTTCCTGGAATTGTATTTGATCAACATGTCGATTGTGTGTACTTAAGTCATTGATATCTAGAAGTCGCACCATAGATTTCCCGACATTCTTCAGAGCGATCCCCGCTGATGGTCGAAGATCATTTCCACGATAATATGTAACTTCTGCAGACTCCAAACATCTCATATTTGACCGAAGAACCCTTTCTTTTAAAAGCTTTGATGGAGTCTCTTTCGTCACCGAATGTCTGACATTTCTATACTGCAGTAGAAAGGTATCCACTACAAGAAAACTACGTGCCAATTAACTAATAAGATCCCCGTAGGCCAATATCAGAAGGCAGATGATGGCTGTAGTCGAGATGCATTTGTTGGCGATCTCGTGGCATCGAAAGAATACCGAGATCGTGCCAAAGTAGTACAAGCGTGGTTACTAAGCGTAACCGAATTTGTGCAAGTTCAAAGTCAACGGGAGAGTGAGTGTAATGTCTGTCATTAGCACAGTTAAACAAACGAGCACAGTAAAACAGTCCCTGGTACAATTGGTTATAATAATAATTGTTTTCATTGAACCAAATGGCGTTCTGTTAACAAAAGTAGGTCACTACAGGTGTTCATTTATTTCCTCTCTGTTTTCCTACTAAATAAATATTATTCTTAAGATTACGAAGTTTGTAATTGAGACAATAAATTGTATTACACTTAAATTAACTTCTCAGACTCGTTATATCTCCACTTTGGATATATGACTCATACATATTAATATTTGGTTATCTTCTTCACTTAATTGTGACATTCATAGCATCACTCCAAACTATGACTGCAGAAACATTTATTCTAGCGTCATGTCTTACTTTAATGACAAGTTTTTTCCTTAATTATTTTCTATATTACTTTTGTTACTAATTTGACGATGCACATATAGTCGTTTATTCTTGTTCTGTGCTCATAAACACGCTTATAAAACTATTTGCATATCTCATGTCTCCTTTATTTCTATTTCCTTATTTTCTCCCTTTCCTTCTTTAAACTCAATTCAATATTCTTCTCAATTACACATAACCTGATTTATTATTATTGTTATTCTATTATTACTACTCTCTTGTTTCAAATATGGCAAATATAATGCTAACATTATTAAAACTTGTGTATTATTGCATTTTTGAAAAAAACCCGAAATGGTTTCTTCTCAACACTTATGTGCCCATAAAATGTTTGTGAATAATAATAATAATAATGGTGCTAAAAACAGTATTATGATACACAAATGGCTGTCTCCCTTTTTTTCGAAGCTATTGGAGCACTTTTAGGTTTTAAAGTGTCTTGAGTAGGTTTCGTTTTTAGCGAATTGTCTAGTTTGCTTGTAATAGGATTACTGGGTGGGAAGCAAAACCAATTCAACATTCTAAACACGATTTAATGAGGTATTTTGCATGATAAATCAGCACCAATACCATTAGTTCGAGACATTTCACTAGACCATAAGGACCCTTAATTTAACAAAATTTTCTGCCCTACAGACATGAGTGGATTGAAGTTATCTCTTCGCCATCATGTTTCTTGGTCAGTACCGCCACCCTCCCTCCTTTTGTGATGTTAAGCTCTCTTACGCGCCCTTGCCCGGTTGAAACCAGAACAAAGTGACTGGGTAAAATGACGGCTCTAAAATTCATCATAAATTTAAATGTACATTGTTACCTAAACAAATATGACCACCCAGCCATTCAACCAATAATTGTTCAACTAATCAAATCTAAATTGTAATAAATAAAGAAGTTGATAAAGGATGCGAGAAAATTACCAATCGCAATAAATAGATACTATTCTATCCTGTCTGGATAGACTAAGCACAGATTCGTTGCTCTATTATACAGTGTTTCCAACTCTGTAAGAGTGCTTCAACTCACGATCAAAAATGCACAATTCCAGTCAATACAAACAATACAATCAAAAGGAGGAACGAACCAATGTGGCTGCCGCCAACACTGAGTATCAAGTAAAACAACATAAATGCGATTCAGGAAGAAACATGAAAACTTAGTGAATGTTTAAAATAAAGGCTATAATAAAATACAAATATTACCAACTCAAATGGAATAAAAAAGGCAAACAAAATGTACAACTAAAGTAATCAGTAGGAACGAATTGCAAGTGTATACATGGAGGGGTTTTCACACACAAAATGGATCTTACACCCACCGTCGCCGTTATCAGGTCAGCTTCAAGTCTTAGTGGGCGATAACGCCGTGTGTGGAGCAGTCTTGAAACATAGATAGGTATAAGTTCCCCAAGCTACACCCAACGGTGTTTGGATGCTTAAGGTATAGAAATCTCCTCACCTAACTTAGCTTGTATTGCAGAAATAGTAATGGAGAAAGGTCCTCCAAGTGGATCACGCTCGACACATCACATGAAAAAGAAATTCGTTAAAAGACCCTGTGATACGAGGACTCATTACGAGTGTTGAATGTGTCACAGAGACTGTCACAAAAATGAAAATGAATCGTATGAACAGGAGCAAGTTACAAATGTTCAAAAAATCTGCACTGCTCTGTTAATACCACTAGAAGTTCTGAGCCTATACAAGCAGATGCAGTCAACCATGTGCTTGACCTAAACGGAATAACAAAAATATGCTGGTCACAGCGATTGAGGAGAGGTGACTAAAACTTCACTGGTTTTATAATGGAGAAAGAACTTCAGGCTTGAACGTTTTGGTAAATGCTGGTGCTGCTCATAGTATCATTCTTGCGAATAAAACTGTGCTTAGCTGAAAAATCTCCCCAGTTGCACTTCAAGCTGCTAATCAAACTAAAACCATGACATTTGGGTAGAAAACGCTAACGCTAGATTTGGATTTAAGAGGGCGATTACATTGGGTATTGTTTTCAGGCTGTTTAGATCTGGCAATACTGGAGATGAACTTTGTCGGAAGATATGGATTTCTAGTGGAAACCAAGAGGCAACGTTCGACACCTAAAAGAGCTTCAGGTTACACAAAAGGTGAAGGAAGTCACACCACTTCTCTGAATTAGACAAAAACTCCACCAGCAATAAGCTCCAAGTTCCAGAATGTATTTGCGGCATTTTTAAACCTAACCAAATCCAACCCCACCCTTCCAAATGTAAGCTAAAGGTAAGCCATCTAATCAAAACTGGAGGCGCCCCTGTGTTCTCTAGACCTAGTAAACCAGCACTAGATAAACTTTAAATTCTGGAGCCAAAACCAACTGCACACTACAACTGGATATTATCCGTCTGTCAGATAGCCACTAAGGTACCCCTCTATACATTAGGCACGTTTAATGATCCTTGTATTAAAAACAGAGGGCTTGACCAAGTACGTTAAGCGGAACAACTATATAACCAAATTTTCAAACCTAAATCGGTTAATCTTCGTAAATAGTCACAGGCTACATATAAACTCAGGGATGTAAGCACTTGTACACACGCCTGAATCGGGTCAACAAAGTGAAAGCATTTCATTCGAAAGTACAAACTCAGGAATACACCGACACAGTATGCTAAACCCGGTTTATCTAGATAACAAACCATCGTACTTGTTTTAAGATTTTACCTGACAAGACAATTACAGAATTCGTTATACTCGGCGCCCAATTTCTGTCAAACTATTCGTTCTAATCTTGACGAATATTCCTATAGATTACAGAATCGACAAATAATTATCAGAATTCTCCGCAAGTGACCAAGACGGTCAGATGAACTCAACCGATTATTCAAACAGGGATATCTGCAGTCTTGACATAAGCCTAAACTTTAACCGCATATCTTCTAAAACCTTAGCTCATCAAATTTGTGTGTGTGTATTAAGTTAAGAAACAAAATAGTAAATCTTTACATACTGTTTCACTGTCAAATGTGAAATCATTAATAAAAAATGGTGCCAAAATTGTGGCACTCTTAGGTAAAATCTTACCGAATCCCTTTCAAATCTTTTACTTTTGATGCATGGGTGCTGTACTTGTTCTTATAATAAGTATTTAAACGGTTTGTTGAAATTGGAAACATCACATTAGTAGAGGTAAGTCGCAAAGGAACGAACAGCTTTTGACTGAGGTGAGTGATTTAGGCATGCTGCGACTGTGAGATCTGTCTTTTTTCTAGATTTTTCGCCAGCAGAAAAAGAAAACGAGAATGTTGGATAGAAGTACCAAACAAAGGTTATGTGAACACTAACCATAAACATGACAAATATAAGACAGTTAACAACTACAAAGGGCCAAAACATTTGTCTTATTTTTATTTCATATTTGAATTGCCAGTTTTTGGTAAACTAAAACAAGTTATTGACAGTTAGAAAACAATGGGAAAGCTGTCTAAACATTATAAAGACGTCGATCAAACGTCAAGCTCACGGTTTAGTATGGCCAGCAAAATAGAAGTGTGCCTACGATTTTCTAAAGTAATTGGTATCGATTCAACTTACAATACAAATAAAGATAAGTAATGGAACTTAACCAATGAAATCTATATAGCTATAAGTTGTTTCTTCTAATTATTACAAGCAAGGACAAAAACAGACGTCCAGTGATGTTTACTTGACCGAGATTCGAAAAGACAATCAGAATGGGACATTGGAATGATCAAAAATGATGATATCAGACATGACGGTAAGAGTCTTTTTGGACGTTTTGTGTAATTGTATATGAAAGTCATTTCACTTGAGCAATTAGTATCTATTCTTCTTTGTCTCTTTAGCTGCAAATTTCTTTGAGATTTTGACCCCAGTTGAGACGATGTTCTTTGTTTTCTATCTCAGTTTTGTTCTTACGAGGTTTCCACTGATTTTACGCCAATATCTATATGTTCTAAATAGACTACAAGTGCTACAACTTTCTTGCGTGCCAGCTTCTAGTCATACATTAAGCAGCATTCTGATTTCTGGCAGTAATCATACTAAAAGACTTTCTTGTAGGTTGATACCGTTTGGTTTAACTGTATGATCTATGATTGGTGAGATGAATATTTAAATCATCAACTGTCGTGAAAGTTCATCGATTTAAGGAGTAAATGTCCCACTTTGTCTAAAATTGATGGGACACGCACACCTTCTCAAGCCTATGTATATAAAACATGAATTTCATTTCATGTCACCAGATTGCTTTCAAGTCCCTCTCAATTAGACGATAATATACCGTAATTCTTACGCCCAATAAAAATAACTGTTATCAACTCTCACAAGTTCTTCCTCAGAAAAGCGTAAGCTGTCAGTTGTATAGATACTCGTTTGACTTATAGATGAGGATATTATGGGATTCCCAGCATTTAAATATAACCCCGTATTTTCCGTAAAAATTTCTGATAACTTACTGTAAAACAAGACAAATTAGCCTTAGATAATATTTATGGCCCATGTTTGTAAATTCACTACAGGTTTAACGAGATATCTTTGTAAAGTTTGGTTGAATCCTAGATAACGTCAAGTTTATATGGTTGTAGTGTTGCGCTCTCTAACAACTTAAGTTTTAGATTTTACGTGAGACACGTTTACCTAACTGAAAAGATAATACTCGACAATAACTGTAAGTTAGTACATTCATAGGGTATCATATTTTTATTGCATTCAATAAACTTGTCCGAGTGTTGGTATTTCAATTTCTGTAGTCACAGAACATCTTTAACTACAGTTTCAATTTGTCACATAGGATTTGAAAGCTAGGTTTCTACCCGGTGAATGACCAAAGTTATTGGTCTCAGTTGAGAATAAAATTGGAAGTTCTCACATTTAGGTACTTGTGATCATTAGATTCGGCAGCTGTTCAAAACACAGTTATTTCTTCTGGCTTTACTATACTCTGTTCAATAATCCGTGCTACAGTTAAGCCAGTTATATTTGGTTGGTGAACTTTTGAGTCTCATCATCAATGAACCAGTTCGTTTAAAATATTTATTGTTGAAGATCTATTGAAGAAAGTATAGATTTAGAATTTTGTAAATACCATTAAGATTCACAAAACCTACCTAAGAACTACTCTATGCACGATTTATAGTCTTACTCATTATATATAGCACAAGTTATTTTTGGACAAATGCACTGTTGCAGTCTTACAGGTAAGGTAAAGCGCGATTAAAACCTCACTAGGAACATTACTTAAGCATGCTTCCTTTCTTAAATTAACGATCGAAATGGCTTGCACGATACACGCTCCATTCGGAAGGCAAACCAGGACAGCGACGACAGTGGCTGGAAGAAAAAGGATATGTAGTTGCAGACATAATCATTTGGATGCGAAGCTTCTGAGATAGCTGCCTAGATATCGGGAGAAGAGCTCCCCATCGAATGCAAAGAGATATGTCTATGATGCTTGACTAATTGACTTGGGCTAGAATATTTGCCAGAAGTAGTAGTTTCAATAAAGAGATAGATTGCTTCTGAACAATTTGCTCGGGGAAGTTGTTTGCAGAGAAACATAGGAGCAACACAGTAATGACTTCAGTCAATCTTAACTATTTCCCATGTGGATGCCGCTGACTGCCGGTAAGCCAACTCCTCTTCAGTTAAGCGTTAATCAATATTTATAGTTACACAAATATAAGTTACAGACATATGATGAGTAATGGGATTGGAAGTGTACACACGCCTACGCGCTCATTTAAAAACAGCCAAGATTGATGAGCGAATAATTAATAAGGTTAGAATGTGACCCAAGTAGAATGAATAGATTGAGTTGTCCGAAAGCTAGAATAAGGCATATGGGCTTAACATAATAATAAACACTACAAGCTCTTAAAACTTCATTCGAAACTAGACCACTCTATTTGGCATATCTGTCATGATAACGACACATAGAGGGAGTAAATTCTACTGGTTTTGTCGCACGTTCAAAACTAAGTTCGAGTTTGAATTATTCAACAGTCTATCAAAGTTCCTAGAATCCGGCTTAGCTGACTGAGCGCCACGATAACTTTTACTCCTACTTCCCTAAAACAAACGTATTTATGCCTAAAATACCTACGTTGGACGATATTTAACAACGGGAACTGCGAGGCGGCTCCAGAAAGTGAACGCAAATATATCGGTCAATTTGCGCAAGCTCATCTGAAAGATTGGATATTGTACCAATATCTGAAACATATTTCAATGCCATCCTCCTGGCGGGAAACGATTCGACTAGCTGGTTCCGTGAGTCGTCACAAAGTTTCCGTACAGTTTTTCGTGTTTAGCTTTGTCTTTTCTAAATTTTCGGGTTGTTATAATATCGTGTTAGTGGAAATGAGTCAAACATTATTGTACTAATGTCATGCACTGCATGGTTATACTATATGCATTACTATTTGTTGATTTTGGTTTGAGTCATATGTGATTCAAAGCAATATTGGCGGAGATGGAAGCTGACAAGTTATTCACATAATCTCCCCTCGAGTTCGTCAATAATTTCCGTAAGCTTTAAGTCCCTCAATTTGCTTCCAGAGGGCACACAATTTGATTCATTATACATTTCTATTAATAAGCATATAACGTAACACCTCAGAAATGTGATCAGGTGTCCTGCAGTTAATTTTCTTATGTAGAAGTGTAATCTTATCTAGGTATCGTGTCTTTGGGTGCTTTAGGTCTCGAACTATTCACATCTGGCGATTAGATTATAAGACGTTATGTTAGCACCTCTAGTTCCTCGTAGAGGCTACACGTTGTCCTGGAAGTGTTAAACTATCACCGTAAACAAGCTACAGTGTATGGGGGAAATCTAGTTTGGTATTGAAGTGTACTTCACCATCGTTTTCAGGTCCTACAACTGTATGCGACACATCTTCAACATACTGACTTTGTATCGACGGCCTTCCGTAAGGAAGTTTTTGGGTATAATATATCTCATCCTGCGATTCGCGCTACCACTGAGTCAGAAATTTGTCTGGCATAAGATGAATGCTGATATATAGCAGTGTTCTTAGAATTCCTTGCATTTCCAGCGGTGTAAGATTTGCACACAACCACCGAACTAGCAGGATTTGATATTCCCTACACACTGGCTTAGTGAGTCCATTGGATCCATCTAATAGTCTCAATTACACCTTTACTTCAATGGCTTGTTTTATTGTATGATCGATTGCTCTTTCGGTGGATATCTCTTTCGAGATTGTTTTCTTCGACAGATGGGTTTCAAACTTTAGCGTTTCGTTAGCATTCACTTGAGATAGTGGTTCATAATGCCAACATAGTTTGTCAAATGAGCTCACTCAAGTCTTAGGTGTGCATTATATCATTATTACAGTATGCCATCCCACGGATAACGGACTTGTGGAGAGGTTCCAATGACAACTAACTCAGCCTCAGGTATCATATTGAAATGAATACATCTGGTTTTACTCAGGACTCGTTCAGTCGTTAAAGGTTTGAATCGTACACCTGTGCAACTTGTTTATGGTTCTAGTTTAACTTGTTGCCCCTATACGAGTTAGATGTACGTGCATCACGTTTTTGATGCACAATTAAAAACCTGTAATAACACAGGAAGTTTATACCAAAGAACAGATCATTAAGCGAAAGGAATATTTTCCATAAGTAAATAGTTCATCATGTTTTAGTGTGTGGGCTGAGATACTGCCCGGGTGCCCAGACCGAAGCAGGTGGTTTTCTTAGGGGACCACATCCCGAGCCTTTGACCTAAAGGTCTAGTCCACAAGGCAGTGGAGCATCGTGGGGAGATGCTGTCCCATGGATGCCGGTGACCAAGGAATTGGTTCATACGCCATTTGTTCCCGCAGGATACTGGAGCCCATGTGCACCATTGATTTGGGATCCGGTTATAGCGCCGGACATTCGCTTTTCGTCCTCTCATTTTCGTAAACAACGCCCGTGGTGCGAGAAGGCAGTGAGTAGGACTCCCCTGGCAGAGGCTGTATACGCGTGGCCATGTGAGAGTATTTCGAGAGGGAGGGCGAACCCACCCCACTCTCGGCCATACCAGGGCATTTGGGGACAGATCAGTAAGCACTGTTACACCTACCGTTTTTTGTTCGGGGAGACACGTTCATAGCACTGCCCATTTAAAAGATCTTTTAGAGTACTAGAGCTGCTTGATAAACAGCCCAGCAGAAATGGGAAGATTGCAATTTTTAGTCCATAAGCTTGGAGTTGCTCTCATATAAGCCAAAGTTCATTACACCCCAGTTTTGCAGAAATGATAAAAAGTGTACTAATGGGCTCCCTGCATTATGAAGTAACTCCTACCTTGTTCTGCAATCCCAACGGCCCTTACCAGTGTTCAGCTTTCAACGCGTATTGCCTAACCTAAACGTCACTCATACTGGAAAGTATATGCACATTCATAAACTTTATGTAAACCTTATTTATCAATTTCCTCTCATCTCTACATCCTATTTGGTCATATATTTGCATGCGCTAATAATATTCTTTTTATGTAAATCACTTTTTCTTGTCACGATCATTTCCATATTCATTATATTACTACCTGTTTATAAATATATCGAGTCGTTTAGTGATCCTCTATCATCTTACTCATTTGTGTAAATCACATTTTTCTGTGGATGTGGTTATATTTCGAGCTTATCCTGATGTTCGGATCACTAAGAGCTTCACCTTGGGTATTTTCTGTCGTTTTAAAGGCTTGTAATTATAGCCGCTATTCAATCTATCAAGATGACCTAGTTGTCAAAGCATTCGTTATCCGACCAACGTAATTTAGGTCCGGCTTGGGGAACTCGGTAGTTTCACTCGCTTTTACACTGTGGCTTAAAAGCAACTGCATAAACATCTTAGTAAGTGACTAAATAATTATGTAATCTACTAGTGAAGATAAAATGAAACGCACTTTGCAAAAGTCGATCCAACTCTAGATTCTACTTTAACGTGGTGGCTGGACTCGCCTACTTCAATAATCCAATTGAACTGTGCTTACTGAAATATACTGTGTGAAGTCCTGCCACCTCATGTAGATTTTATGACGATTTTGTTTTGCTGATTTTCCCAGGATTTAGCGGCGTTTCATAAATAATTTATATGTAGCGGAGCTGCCTTCCCACAAATAAAATAAGTACTTAAACAAAATTGGCTCCCTGAATCGTACGTTTTTGTCTAGCGTTAAATAATTCAGGGAATTGAGATTAGGTCCTAAAATTACGTAAAAATAGCTCAACATCTCGATTTTCTGGCTGGGACCCTGCTCTCTCTTTCCTAGATAAAATCACCAAATAGCATCCGTAGCTCTCATTAGCAAGACTAGACAAAATGTGTGTTATTTATTTATTTATTTGAACACAAATACTGGTACAAGGAGGCACCAGAGAGGTATGCGCCACACAAATCTCATTTAATTTGTGTGAGGGCTGTGATATTGCCCAGGTTCCCAAACAGAAGGAAGTGGTTTTCTTGGGCCACACCCGGAGCCTCTGACCTAAAGGTCAAGTCCACAAGGCGGTGGGGCAACGTTAGAAGATGCAGTCCTAGGGTAGTCGGTGACCAACGGTTGGTTCTTACGCCATTTGCTTCCTTAGGATCCTGGAGCCCATGTTTACCATTGTTTTGGAATCAGGTTTTCCAACTCCCCCAGGTGGACTATCCGTGTTTGACTGTAAATGGGAGCGTGAATAGAATTTTCAGTAAATATTGTCATTTTCATTTTATTTGTAAAAGCCAGGGCGTCCTATGCCAAGCTAGGCCATCTTTGGCGCCTTCGTGATGTCAGTCTGGGTGTAAAAGGTCGGATCTACAACGCGTCGGTGAGAGCAGTTCTGCTCTATGCTTGTGAAACCTGGCCTCTCCGAGCTGAGGATGTTAGATGACTCTCTGTGTTTGATAATCGTTGTTTCCGAAGGATTGCTGACATCCAGTGGCAACACTATGTTAGTAATACAGAGGTTCGGCATCGTGTGTTCAGGCGCAGAGACGATAATCCATCTTCATCTTGAAACATCGACTTCGGTGGCTTGGACATGTTCTACGAATGTCGTCCCAGAGAATTCCACGTCATGCATTGTTTGCCGAGAGATGGTGCGACACATATGCTCTCTTCTCATTCTCATTGTTTTGTTCTGAATCACAAACTTCCCCCAGATGCCCTTATTCGGCCGAAAGTAGGGAGAGTCCGCTCTCCCTCTCGAAATGCTCTCACATGGCCACACGTATACAGCCACAATCAGGGAAGTCCTAACCAATGCCTTGTCGCGGTGGGGGTGTTATTTACGAAATTGAGAGGACGAAAAGCGAATGTCCGGCGCTTTAACCGGTTTGGTGGATATGGGGCATCCACCCAGAGAATTTGGTAGACCCTAACTCCAAACCAATGATGCACATGGTCTCCGGTGTTCTGAGGGAGCAAATGGTGTATGAACCAATCGTTGGTCACCGGCTACCATGGGACTGCATCTTCTAACGTTGCTCCATTGTCTTAAGTCAAATGCTCGGGGTGTAGCCCCCTAAGAATACTGCCTGCTTCGACCTGGGCATCTGGGAAGTATCACATCCCACACACAAATCAAGTGACTTGTGTAGTAAATATGTATTCGGTGCCCTTTGTACCAATATTTATGTGTTCAGATAAATAAATAAACCCAATTTCAATATTACCCTATTGTTCCACCATCCAGAACCAATTCTACGAAGATATCTGTGGTCAAACAATAATCAACTTGTGTCCTATACCTTTAAAGGGTTGTTATCGCAAAGTGAAACAGTGAGGTGCTATAGAATATATTCACCCTTGATGCAGACAAGTCCCAAAACAATATTTCTCACATAAAAGACTGCATTTTATAGGTCTCTTCACTACAAGTTATCTCTTCTAAAAACTGTTAGTTGAAGAGTCGGGTTTCTAATTTGGTCAATGTCTAAAAGGTTACCCAAAGTGTTATTTGTAGTAGCATATATCTAGCGAAACAGTGAGAATGAAAAAAAGGTGATTAGTCCTTTCTAAAACTACTAGTGGTTGCCAATTTAGACGACAGTTCATCGTTGGCTGGCATAATTAATACTGCATTAAAGATTTCAGGATTTCTGCATACGTACATTGTACATCCTTGTGACAAATACCACTACCGTCACAAAAACTGCTTAGAAGTTGATATTCGGTCAATACATACACGATTAGACCTGAGACGTGATTGGTTTTCTTGAGCTTTCTGCTCCTAAAATCGACTTAGGCGTCAAATGATTGTAAAGGCTGTAGTGCTAAACAATCTGATACCTCTGGCTATCACAAGAGTATTTTCCTCTCTTATGGATGGGGACGATCAAAATTCAAAAACAAACCGAATCACTGACAAGTCACCCTATGTATCGGGGAATTGTAATTATATATATATATATATATATATATATATATATATATATATATATATATATATCGCAATCTTTCTGCATAATTATTGTCTCACCATTCTCTTAATTTCTGTTTATTTATTTCAAATCTCCCTACCTTTTTATAGTTTGAAAATGAGCACTCCTAATCTACCAAATGGTACTATCAGATCTGGTTTACCTTTTGAGTTATGTCGTTCTGACTACTCCCTCCCGATACCAGTCATATCACAAGCATCATCCTTAGTTTCCGTTCCTAGGAATGTATTTAGTGCTTATCCATCAACTGCACAATCCAGAGGCAGTAATGTCCTACAGAAACCTACCGGTAAAATAAATCTAGTTTATTAAACTTGCTTTTCTAGTCAGTAATTCAACGTCAAGTTTCCCTTTAGTCACTACAAGTAGCATTGCTCAATCAAATGCCAACGCTTTCGCAAATTACCCAGCATTTAACAGTATTTTTCAAACACTTTTACGTGGAACAAATCCATCTCAAGTTACCATTTCTCCCCCAAATGTCTCAGGTTATGTTAATACAGTGGCAGGACCGAATGGAAATCTGTTCACTGGTTTTCGACCTACGCAATTATCTTATCAGCCGAATATTCGCATCACTGCGCCTGGAATTATTTCGTCTGGATCCACTCGTGGGACAGTAAACTCAGTTGCATTGAGGTCAACAAACTGTACCACACGTAATAATGTCAATTCCACATCGATATGTACAACCACGGCCACTACAACTTGTAATTCACTGACTACCAGTCGTACAGTCAATCCATCCGTGGAAACATTATTTGTGTCAAGTAATTTTGTTTCAGTTTCTGACTCAATCAATCGCACGCGAAAATTGGGTGCTACGGCTTTTGTTCGATGGGCGGAAGGTTTGTAATGTTCGACTCCTTTTCTAGAACATTTTTCACTCTAACTTATCATCGAATTTCATTTTAGCCCTCTCTTGTAGACAAGATATCTGATAATTCTACTGTGCTTACTGCAAGTTCGGAATCAACTCAGCTATTCGCTTACTGACATTTAGTAAAATCACTAATTTTCTGCGATCGTGGATCAGATTCATTTTATACGTTGCACGCGTATTAAAATTCAGCACCGAAAAAATTTGTTTCTTTTGCATGTATATGGTCTTCCTTAGCTTAATATCAGTGTTTCACGTGTAAAACTCCGTCGTTGAAGGTGTATGTCATGGAAGGATTTCGAGTATTTTATAATAGCGAATGGCATTTGACTTGTTAAAGTAAAGGAATCTAATTCTGATCGATAGAGGAGACTCAATGATGCGGTGTAACCAAGTAATAACTGTTTACAAGTTCAAATTATTACCGTAAGTCGCTAAATAAAATCACATTAAAAAAACAAGTCAACTATTTAGCAGGATAAGTTTTCTTTTAACAAAATATTATGTTTATGTATAAGACATTAATTACAAAATAAACATAATTAAATTTCCTAGGCGATTGGGAGATAAGAGGATTTTAGATCAGTCACTCGCCAACAAATTCGAACTTGACTTGAGCGTATTTCTTAGGCTTCGTATCGATACAATTTCCGAATAAAGTAGTGTGACTTAGTTTCCTTTTTATTTATTTAAACCAGCTCTCTTTGATGTGAATTTATTATTTTCCTTAGTGCGTTTATTGTTAGTTAGAATCATTACCATAGACATTCATGGTATTATTTTACTTCGAGTTTTCGCTAAGTTCTGGTCCCATCTTGTATGTACTTGACAGAAACTAGAAATAGCAGTAGTGTATGGTGATCACATTAAATTTATTATACAATACTTGCTAATGTTTGAAATGTATATTGAATTCATAGAACATTGTTTTGTTTTCACGTAACTGTCTGATTTATGCTTATCATTTAAGCTGTATGACTAACTCATATAATAACATTTGCTTTCCTTTGTATTTAGCGTGTACACGGTCGTTCAGAAAGGAGCGGATTTCTGTTTGGCCTCGATGCAAAGCCGATTCAGATGCATTGCATGAAATGAACTGGATTATTTCTCCACCTGGTCTTTTAGGCATTTATTCTGAATCTCCTTTTTTACGACCTGTAGTACTACTGCGCCGTGTTCAGTTTACTGCTCCTGGAAATGTCAATCCAAATATACCGGATACTGATAATATGGTCCGTTCTCTGCGTGAAATGGCTGATGCTAAAGTAACAAAGTATCCAGGTTTCGCTCCACAATTTCCACCTTCCGCAGCTTCCGTAGGTTTCACAACAGACTACATGACCTATGTATTTACCTTGGAATTGGAGCGTCAAGTTGTCAAACTACTACGTCTTAAGTAAGTTTATATGTACTGATATAATAAAAGTGCCAACAAATAAGGTTGAAGCTCACTGAATTGTTAGACTAATCAGATAAATTCTTGCATAATGATGAATTAGATTTTAGATGCAGGTTTTCATGACATTGTAGTGAAATCTCAACGTAAAGGCTGATGACTGTGCATTCAATCTTTAAAAAAACTTTCGTAAACTTAATTTGGAGATTAATTTTAATCTACAATTAAACCGAGGAAATCTAGGAAAAGCATGTAGACAATCTGTTCTTTAAAAGGTGATAGTAAATACATTTTACAAGGGGAGAAAAATTGAACACTTTCACAACCCTATCGAATTTTGAAGAACACGAAAGCATTGAAGTTATAGACAAGAATCTTATTTTCATCAATCTCCATAGCATATGCTGAATGACACATCTATTTGAATATTTCGTTCTGGTCTGTCTTGATGAGTTCGGTTTCTGCAGTGTGCATAAAAAGTATGATTTTCAAAATTTATTTTCTTAGATTCATAACCAAATTTTGTCCCAATAATCATCTGTATAATACATACAAAATCCATATAGTAAAACCGTCCACTTGAACAAATCCCATACAACTAAAACCATTTCAGAAGAAATGGCTTACACGGAAAAACGAAACATCAGAAAATTTAAAAACCTAATTTTTCTACTCATTGCAATATTACAAATATATTATTTTTATTAATAAAAATCTACCCAATGCGCAATTAATGTGAAATTGTCAAGTCAGACCTTGGTAAGGACACCTACCAATCTGAATCCGATGCTTACTTAGATACTTATACCTTGTAAAATCTCTTCAAATGTGTGGGAACTATTTAAAGAGCTTACAGGTGGGATATGCATTAATGAGGATAACCAGCTGAATGTTTTTGACTTAAATAAGTCTTTGTACGTCAGTTATCTGATGTCATGCTTCCTGTATCCACAAGTTTGAAGAATAGTTATGTTTCGATATTCATTGAAATTGATGCCTGATAGTGTTCCCAGTTAATCAACCCGTTCTAATATTTGGGACCTGACGAAATCCCAAACCTTCTTAAGAAGTGTGCTGACACTCTGTGCCATCCATTCATGGGCATCTTTAACAAATTCTTCTCAACTAATTTCATGCTGAGAAGGTGGAGGAAAGTATATGGTGATAGGAATGTGAAATTTACACCCACAGCAATAACTTCCCCTTTTCTCAAAACAATGTGAAAACTGTTACTACTCCCACTTCAACCTGCATTAAAAGAGCATATTGATCCATATCAGTTTGCTTACAAATGCACAAGAAGTATCTTAGATGCTGCTATTATTTTGCACCATAACTTCTGCTTTTGATTCTATTCCGAGCCTGCTACTACAAAACACGTTTGCTGTCATTAAAACCTACAACTGGATAACCATCTGGATGCGTTTTTACCTTTCTGGAAAAGATCGGAACACTGTCCTCGGAAGAAAGTGTTCTACGTCTCTGCTTACTCATGAAGGTGTGCCACAATGTTCTGTTCTGTTTCCTTCCTTTTTTTCCTGAATGATCTGCCATCTTCGACATGAAATAGTTTTGTTCAATGTGTGGACGATCTCACTGCATGTACAGCGATATCTACCTATTTATGTCCCTTTGAAATGAATGAGTTTTTGTCTCATTGAACGATCGTTGGTTGTTAATAGTTTCACACGTAATCCTTCTGAATCACAAACTTCCCCCAGATGCCCTTATTCGGCCGAAAGTAGGGAGAGTCCGCTCTCCCTCTCGAAATGCTCTCACATGGCCACACGTATACAGCCACAATCAGGGAAGTCCTAACCAATGCCTTGTCGCGGTGGGGGTGTTATTTACGAAATTGAGAGGGCGAAAAGCGAATGTCCGGCGCTTTAACCGGTTTGGTGGATATGGGGCATCCACCCAGAGAATTTGGTAGACCCTAACTCCAAACCAATGATGCACATGGTCTCCGGTGTTCTGAGGGAGCAAATGGTGTATGAACCAATCGTTGGTCACCGGCTACCATGGGACTGCATCTTCTAACGTTGCTCCATTGTCTTAAGTCAAATGCTCGGGGTGTAGCCCCCTAAGAATACTGCCTGCTTCGACCTGGGCATCTGGGAAGTATCACATCCCACACACAAATTATGTGACTTGTATGGCTCATATTTATTTGGTGCCTTGTGATAATGTTTGTGTAAATAAATAAAATGGCAAACTTTTAATTTTAGCCTGAGACATAAACAGTCCTTAAACACCTTGTAGGATTTCCATAAAGTTTATACTAGTGGCGATTTTGTAATAAACAGTATCAAAGCTTATTTGTTTTTGTGAAAGTTTTCCCTTTGATCTCTCTCGGTCTTCTCATGTTTTCGTGATATTGAAGAGTTTTCCGTTTAATTTATTATATAAATAAGCTTCATACTTTCTTCATTAATTTTACGAGTTCTAAATTCTTGCCTATTACCTGTTATTCTTTGCCGGGTTTTTGAAAAAAGATTTTGCTGTTTGGCAGAATGATGAAGGCAGTTAGCAGGGTGTGTGGTGAATGCTTTGAGGTCATTATTAATATGGTACTTTATCCAACGAATATGCTTTGAATAGCAGGTTGTTAGAGCTGACCCAGCCAATAACTTGTATTCTTAAATGTGTCTAATTAAAAGCTGTAAAGGTTCTTATTGCACTTGAAACATTTCATTTAGTTCCAGGCATTTTACTAACTTAGTGTATGTGTATATGTATGCAGTTGTCGTTTTTTGCTTTTTAAAAGAAACTTGTTAAAATATTGTGTACTAAAAATTCCATATCATACTAAATATATAATATTGGATAATAGTAACAGTGAGACTATAATTTATGTACAACCTTTGAACGACGTTAAAGTGATCTTGAGAGTGTCTACCTATTTATTAGGGCTGATTGGAGGTTATAAAGCAGTTGATGGTAAGGTTTGCGATTTAGATTTATGGTTTTCATCACAAATTGACAGCTAAAATGTCAAGACGCTATTCGGACGAATGGGTGAGTGAATTTCGCGCTAAAATCCAAGACCTGTTATCCTGATTGGTTCGTCCACAAATTATAGTCTCGCCATAGTAACAATAAATCCATAATCTTGTTTTCTTATTATCTCCATACATCTTAGACGATAGTGCTTTGCGATAGTTTTGATTTTCGTTTCTTGAAATCCATTGCATTTGACCCACTGCGTCATTATCATACTATTCAGGCTTTTTAGGAAAAGTGCTGAAATGAAGGAACTCCTTTTTAATTACCCAAGTGTGCGTGTTGATATGCTACTAAGAATTTGTGGTATACTTTATTTGTCACAATAATTGTTTTATGAAGCCATATTATTTAGATGGTAACGGGTGCTACATGGTCTAAACAAAGAACATGTAATTTCATGGGAAGATATTTCTAATGGCCATCTGAAACTTAAACTATATGAGGGGACCGGTTTTCCATGCAAGCACTGATATAAAATACAGACGTAATTTTTATCGTTTATTTGCAAGATAATATTACGTTAAATTAAACACGAGTTCTCATTTTTGTTATTTTCGTAGATTGGTCTGTGTACTAAGATATTGATTCGATTTTTCGGCAGTATGTCTGTCACACCAAAATAATATATTCAGAGATTTAGATAGACGGACATGAATTAAATTAAAGAAGTGGTCTGCTAATTCAGACTGCAGGTCTCACTGTGAGCGTGTCAGTACACAAGTCAATCTATCGATTCTTCAACTTCCATCCTGATTGGTCGCCTTCGTAGGTCACTTGTGATCGAAATTAGACAGGTCGGCCCAAGGACAGTCTGTCTAAATTACTCCTTTTTCAGAAAGTGGTTTTTCATTTAAGCTAGTTCTGGAGGGACTAGCTATTGGCATCCACGTCGGTTTCTTATTCAGCTATAAGTTTCATCATGTTGTGAACTTTCATCATCCTTCGACATTTGGACATTTCGATTTCAATGCTTTTTAATAAGTCTGCGGGCATACTGTATTTTAGTTATAGTTCTGTATTGGTTGGTCTTTCTGAGGTTAGATATACTCTTTATATAACTGTAAAAGTAATGTTTGTCGAGTATTGCGCGAATTTCCCGCTTCAATGCTTCCATAGTTTTTCTGCGCGTTGTTTCATTAACTCAGATAATAAATGTCTATAGATGACTTTCTCTTTCACTTATGTATTGTTTGTGCTTTTTAAATGTTACCTAATTTTGGGAGAAGGTATCCGGTGTTTTGCTTTTCATATGAATGTTTTTACTCGTGGATATATCGTGCACGTCAGTGGTTTGTTTTTCTTGACAATTCCTACACGTAATCTATTTACTTTTGTATTCTGTTTTTAACTACTTATAAGTAACTCGTTACAATCAACAAAGTTTTATGGTTGGATAAAAAATTTTGATATTCGAATGCATGGTATTTTCGAACTCTACCAGGATGTTATTACTTTTATTCATTCGTATACCATGATGACTCTCGAATACTCAGAACTAAATCTAAGAGGCGGGTTACCGTGCTTACTTTGATCGAGTAGTAACCAATGACGGGTTAGTTCTTAGAACTACTACTCAGTGATTAACCGTTGTACATATTTTATTCTTACGGGAGATCAGGCATAGCTTGGATAGGTCGTTAGCGTATTATTATGCTATGAAAGTGGGTGTTCTTGGTCCGAATCCCACTTGGAGTACCGGATCCTTTCTGATTCCAGATACGACTTATTGACGAGTCCCAACCTAGGTCCAGGTTCTGCCAACTATCTCCAACTATATTATGTCAGTTACTGTCTTATTTTTCAAGTTCGGAAATCACTCCATCCGTTATTTTGTACTTCCACAAGTTCAGTCAGTCATACACAAATTAGGATCTAAAACATGTCCGTTGGCTGACGTCACCATATCATCACAGTATGATGAAAGTATCAAAACAAATTCTGGAGTGGTAGTACAACAGATTATGTATTTGGACAATAGCATTCGAGAAGAAAGAATAAACTCAAGGGATAAAGTAATTATAGGATAATTCAAAACTGGAAATCTAATGGATGGTGATGAATGGGTGCATCTGCACCAATGAGAAATATCCTAAGCCACACCACTCAACGTCTCCAGCTATTGGTTACGATAGTCGTGACACCAATAAGATGAGCTTCATCTGACAACACGGTTCACTCTAACAGTTAATGGACTATACTCATTGATGTCACAGCTTGATTTGTTGGAGCTTATAGACTTCTTGAACCGTACGTCAAGCTTTGGTGAATGGGTACATGTAATGCATGCAGAAATTTGAATATTGTTACATTCGGTCTCATTCGTTAGGGTTTTCTCATTTCTACCTCGATGTTCACTGTCATAAACTTTTTTGGTGAACTATTCTGAAATGCCACATTTCACATAAATTTTTTACAAAATTGCTTTATAGTTGAGTTGGTCGTTCAGTCGATTAATTAGTAATCGGATTTGTTGTTCTACATCTCTTTATTAATTAAAACTCCAAACTTCCTATAGTCTATTGAGGTACATAACTACAATTTCCTTCTGTATTTATTTTTTAAAGGACTGGTGATCATTCAGAATGGAGAGTAGTACTAAGACTTGGTTGGGCTACGACGGATTTCTATGTTCCAAGCAATGTATCCTCCAATGCTGTGTCACATCGTGCCCTTGTCTTGGAGTCATTACCTCGTTGCCTTTCTATTCGTGTCTCCGGTCGACCCGTGCCCTTACCTGACCCTATTTTTCATGGTGGTCAGGCTCAACGTCTTGGAAAGCGCCTTCGTTTATCGATTGATATAACAGACAAAGTATGTACATCTTTTTAATCTGATTATATTTTTTTTGGCGAAACGTTTACTGTCATAACTTGTGGCCTTGTGCCCTATTAGTATATAATGTAATGATACCGCCAATTAGAGAACAGTTTAGCTACTTAATAATTATACAATATAAATAGTATAGTATTAGTCCAGAAATAAACTCCAACAGTTACCATTCATTATTTTCATCGGGATATAACAAATACATTATAACTAGTAAACTCTTTTTTCATTTACATCGTTATTTAAAGACTGGGAGTTTTAAACATAACAGGAGGATAAACGTTATAATAATGATCTAATACATTCCACCAAATCGCCTAATTAGGTTTATTCTAAGCTTGTACAAAAATCTCAGTAGTTTTTTTTATATTCTTAGATATGCCATGGAATCTGTTTACTTTTTTATCATCTTTCAAACTATCTCAAAACTTGACTGTAAATAAGAAATATTTCAGGATATGTTAATGAATGGTATTGTAATAAGTGGTAATCAATGTTCTCTATTCACTCAGTGTGAAAGTTAATAAACAGTTATCTAGTTACCACATAACGGAAATCAATCGTTCTTAAGGTGGCCATGTTACTATGGTTTCATTATGCTTTAACCTCAGTTGCAGGTCCGAACCCCGACACCTAATTCGGTTTGAGCAATTGAATAATACCATTAACCCTCACACTTATAGTGTTGCTCATACTCGAGCACCTGGTAAACGAGTTAATCTAGTTTAACTCCAGCACATCTATTGTTTTGACAGCTTTTTCATATGAAATAAAACTTGTCAATATTCTTGTTTCGTATATACAACAATGTTCCATTAAATAAATTAACAGATATCCACAAACTGTCTAAGTAAACAATGATGTATTCAATATTGACTGACTTCATGACAAATTCCCGAAGTTCACTTAACAAATCGTGACAACCGGGGTTAAGGCATATCTCTAGGTAGACAGATATCACTAGTGCAATTAACTAATGCTTGCACAATATCGTTGATAAACAGAAACCCTTGAATTTCTAATTGAGTGTTATCAAGATAACGCACTCATCTTAAGGTTTCAAAGTCGTAGATTCAATCTGTGTCAGAAATACAAAGGGGCACTGCTAGGTAATCGAAATCTAAGATGAAACAACTGTCCAGTGTATCCCGATTTTCAACGTTTCTTCAATTCAAGCGATCAGTCGTAAGTAAATTAGATTATGCTACATATATACATTGGTCAATTTCGGAATCTGTGACCAATATAATCACTTCAAACAAATCAATTATGTTGAAAATAATATACGTGAATAGTAGGAGTAGCGTTACGCATAAAGAGAAACAAATAAGTGTCATCACATGGATTTTATGTATGAAGGGATTTTCACGTACATATAAGCAAATGCATACAAGGAAAATCTTACAACTGTGTCAAGGTATGGGCCCATGTAATACATATCCAAACCACCTCAGACGATGAAAATTCATTACCTTATCAACCGATTTTCAATCTTTACCCAGTGCTTTATCTTGTTTTTTAATTGGTTTTATTTGATTCGTGACGAAAAATGATCTCCAGACTGAACTATTGTCCATAAACCACCGAAGCAAAAATTACATGATGAAAGCACTGTAGAAATGAGGTGTCATCCATAATGTTTTCCAACTTAATGTGGGCAATTTTCAACAAGTTTGGTAGACATATTCACCAAATTCTTGTTTTTAAATTGGTTTCACTGAAGCCTTGTTCATTTCATTGAATTTAGTTACTTTCTAGACAAATTGTAGTAAACATTCCAATAAATCTATTGTAGATATCCAACTGTGTAGTGTTGTATTATCTATCTCACAAATATTTTAATGATTAGTGACTTTTTACCGTTTACTTATCACATTAATAAATTTCCCGATAGGGAATGAATAAGCCGAGTATATTTACGTATTTGTGTTGCTTGTTCCACATAGATTTCAAGAATTACTACTTGAACAATAATTTTTTTAATCAGGTACTCATGAAGTGTGGTTCTGCAGTTCGAAACAGAGTTGTCGATATTGAATTAACCTGGTTGCATGCACCATTGGAAGATCAATCTGTAGGACTTTTAAACTTGGTTGCTGATGGACTGGTCTCTCCATTGTTATGCCATTTAATTGGGTTACCTCTAGTTCAAGTTACACTTGATCGAGCTTATTCAGTTTCAGATCTTCGAAATACTTTTAATTTAGACAACCCAGAGGCCTACAAAAATTTCATCAATGGACCACTCTTAGATCCTATAGAATTTCCATCATTAACAGTAAATGCAGATGGTTCAGGAACTTTAGAAGATCATGGGGTTTTTGGGGCTTATGACAATTGTTTGCCACCGGCATTCTCACTTCCTGCTGATAATACAAAAGTAATGATTTTTGTTCCAACTAGTTTGCTAGTTGTCAGTCTTTTTTACAGTTCCGATGCATAACGTTATGGCAACGATCATGACATTTAATTTATCTTAGTGTCCAAATGATTTTGAAGTGAAAGCAGCAACAGGCAACAAAAAATATATTCGGGTAATATAGTTAGATAATTGTTATTTATATCAATGATCAGTAACTTGTAAGCTTCTAATTAATCAAAAGTGATAGTTTTCAACCTTAAATTGTTCAATACTACGCCTATGGTGAAAATAGTTGATCTTCTGACTTAATAACAACAGGGATGATCCAAATAACTGCCATTCGACGAAGTAAACCCTAGTCCATCAAAGTTGTAAAATGAAATCCCATTGATTATAATTTAAAAGACTGATTCTTCATACTACCAAAACTGTAATTCCGAAGGCTAATTCTGTGTTTTAATTTAGGTTTTTCACGTTTTATTTTAAAGACTCCATTAACCAACACTGAACATCGAACAAATGGTGACTTGATATATACTACCTAGAAATTAGTCAGTTTGATAGTCTCATTATATTTTTTTTTAAACGTTGTACCTAACCTTTAACATAGTTTGCATTTGTACTCCATCTGAGCAACGTGTTAAAGATACCGATAATCGAGTACTATCAACGTCCATATATTGTTTAACATCATCGTTTACTTCTCACAAATGCATGGTAGAAAAGTCTAGTATTAATCAATCTTATTATGTAAACGAGCGTTTTTGTACCACACCTCAGTAAGCAATTATTGTACAAGTTTATGTTCGATGAGGTTGGTTTGCATCAGCAAAATAACTTGTCAGAAAACGTGGTCATACATTTGAAGGAAATAGCTGGTTTAATTCTGTAATCTTGAGTTATTTTCAAGCTAGATGTTGAAGTCCTGCTTCGGTTTGGGCACCCGGGCAGTATAACAGCCCTCACACAAATCAAATGAGATTTGTGTGGTGCCTCCTTTAACAAATATCTGTGTTCAAATACTACTACTACTACTTACTTACTTACTTACTTGCTTACTTACTTACTTACTTACTTACTTGCTACTACTACTAGTACTACTCATTCCTTTATCCTTCCGGAATTTTTTAAAATATTTTTGAAGACACTTCCATCCTGTTAGCTTCTCTCCAAGGATAGTGATTTAAATTGATCCACATTTATCCCGGTCTCTACACTCATGACTGGCTTTTGTATATGTCACGGATTTTAGCCTGTATGTTTGTTTCGCCTCGTATTTTCAGGTCTTCTAAAGTTATATAAAATCGCTTTCTGCGTCACTGCAGCCTTCAAAAAATGTATGGCAAAGTTCATTTATACTCGCAACAAAACTGTTCTTATTGTCATGTATGCTATTTCATTATTGCTAATAAATACACTTTGTTTGTGAGTGGTAATTGTAATAATAATAATAATAATAATAATAATAATAATAATAATAATAATAATAATATAGATGTTTAAGTACAAAATGATTAATTTCAGACACATTTGCATTTCATACTAATCTTCTGTGGTTTGTGAAGGACATATGTTGATGTTATTTATTCCTACAACTCTTGGATTAAAACTAATCATTAATAAACAACTCATTTCTTATTATGCCGTTATTTTTGCACTCCAGCATGAACTGAAATCTCGGCTTCAAAAATCGTCTAACGATAGCGATCTATGTTTTGAAGATGGTGACGTTGAGCTTGCTGACTACATTCCTGTGTGCTTATTGTGTCCACTAACTCGAACGAGAATCAATGTAAGTTTCACCCCGTTTACACTGACATTGTTATTACTTTCCTGTGATTCGTTTGCTTTCCTAAATTTGTTATGTAGCAGTTTATTTTCAGTATTTGTGTGGTTTAATAATCGTCTATTACTGATCACTGCCCGTAGTTTTTACACAAATGTAGTATTGTCATCCGGTTTCACATACTATAACCCCTTCCCTTTAACTTAATAATACAGAAAGGCAATGCTGTTTGATTTTTAAAAATGGAATATTTGAGTCAGTTGTACGTATTCCAACGGCCTTGTTATCGCCTGCATCTAAGAGTATCGTTGAATAAAATCTTATAGATTGTTTGCTGTGTATACTACAATTATAATGTAATTCATTTGAACCAAGCAATTCATGTGATTCTTTGGAGCTGCCCAAATTGTTGTAACAACTAAGTTATCACTCCCGATAGTTAGATTATACAATTCTAATAATTTTCATTGAGGTGTTTTTATAAAACAGTATTCGAAGCTAGAATTTTTTGTATGCCAACGTAAGAAGCGTATTCCATACAACAGTAAATCGTCTAAAATAATAATCATATCAACTATCACTTTAAATTATTTAAACATAAATAAAAGAATGTTATGTGTTAAAATTATTTAATCTTACCATATTTTTATTCTAGCTTCCTGTACGATCGTTCAACTGTTCACATCTTCAGTGTTTTGATTTACACTCATATTTAACAATAAATATGCGAAGACCTCGTTGGTCTTGCCCTATTTGTAGTATCTCTGCACCATATCGTGACTTACGAGTGGATGAGTAAGTGGATTTTTTTTAGTGTTGTTATGTCTATCGTTTAGTAGGTGTAAGAAATCTATAAGCTTCAACAAACCAAGTTGTGGCATCAATCTGTAAAATCCATTGACTGTTAGATTGAACTGTGTTGTCAGATGAAGCTCACCTGATTAGTGTCACGACTATCGTAACCAATAGCTGGAGACGTTGAGTGATGTGGCTTAGGATATTTCTCATTGGTGCAGATGCACCCATTCATCACCATCCATTAGATTTCCAGTTTTGAATTATCCTATAATTACTTTATCCCTTGAATTTATTCTTTCTTCTCGAATGCTTTTGTCCATATACATGATCTGTTCTAATACCACTGATATTATTACTACTATTATTCTACTATCACTCCAGAATTTGTTTTGATATTTTCATCATACCATGTTGATGTGGTGTGACAACTTGATCTAATGGATATATGTGACAGGTTCTACGTTGCCTACGACTGATTGTTGAAATTTAATAACATCGTCATTTTTCACTATTCATGTATCGTTAAACTTATATCCCTTGAAGCACTAATTACCTAATATTTACTCTTATAAACAGTAAATTGAAGTGTACATATTATTGATCTAAAAAATAATCTTTTTTGTAATTTCGTTTTCTTTTCCACACTAGATTTTTTATGAGTATTTTGAAGAATCCTCGTAGTGTTGACGTTGAATTTGTTCAGTTGGATGAAAACGGTGATTGGCATTTAAATAATCCTAATGACGTTAGTCCAAATAGTCCAGTCATCACGGAATCTAATCAAGCAAAAAGTGAACAGAAAAATGTTGAGGATGCAAAGGCTTCTATTACATTGAAAAAACTTGAAGCACCTAATGAAAGAGCCATAGTGACTACTGATAAATTGAATGAATCCGAAACAAACACTGTTGATATAAACAATACATATATGGAAATGACAGAACAAGTAACTAAAGATAATCACAACAATACTAATAGTAATGATAACAATTGTCAGCTAGAACCTGAGGTAATTATTTTAAGTGATGATGATGATGATAATAATAATAGTAATAATGATACAAAGGAAGCGGAGACAAATTTCCAAAATGGCAGTAATGATAAAAGTGTCAATCAGTGTCCACAAAATGTTGACAAGCATGAAACAACTTGTAATAACGGTCAAAAAAATGATATAAATAATGGTTTTCCATGTTTAAAAGAAAAAAGTACCATGTAAGTCAACACTTTCCTATGTTCCACTGGTTGTTTCACTTGCATTAAGTAATGTGTACTTATCTATAAACAGTTGAATAAGTTATGCAATAGATTTTATACTGTAGTGATTGAATATTAAAGCAACAGTCATTAAAAAAAACAGAAAATGGTAACATTTCGAGAAACACGTCCGCGTCATATAAGTATACATTTTTGGGAGTTGGAAAGTCATATCTTTTGTATTATTATAATCATTATTACTTATTGTTAGAGGAGTGTATATTGGGCTGACGAGTCCCAAGCGGGAGGAAACACTAATCCTTGATGCTACTATTAGCCCCAATACAGCTGTTTTATATCTCCTGTCTATGAAAATATCACCACTATGATAACTTCTTGTCCGAATTATCAGTATATTATTATTTATATTAGCACATAGATATCGGTACAAGAAGGCACCAAATACATATGCGCCACACAGATCTCATTTGATATGTGTGAGGGCTGTGATACTGCTCGGGTGCCCAAACCGAAGCAGGTGGTTTTCTTAGGGGGCCACACCCCGAGCCTTCGACCTGAAGATCTGATCCACAAGGCAGTGGAGCATCGTGAGGAGATGCAGTCCCATGGTAGCCGGTGACCAACGATTGGTTCATACGCCATTTGTTCCCTCAGGATACTGGAGCCCATGTGCACCATTGATTTGGGATCCGGTTATAGCGCCGGACATTCGCTTTTCGTCCTCTCATTTTCGTAAACAACGCCCGTGGTGCGAGAAGGCAGTGAGTAGGACTCCCCTGGCAGAGGCTGTATACGCGTGGCCATGTGAGAGTATTTCGAGAGGGAGGGCGAACCCACCCCACTCTCGGCCATACCAGGGCATTTGGGGGCATATATTTAGTAACTTCAAATGTAACTAGTTGCATTTGAACCAGTTTTTACCTATGTCTAAATCACTTCTATTTTCGATTCTTCATAGCTCAAGTAATACGCAGTCTACACGAACTTTTACGCTTGAAATTGACCTGACAAATGATGATTCAGATTCTTCTTCACTTTGTGAACCAAATAACAGAATATTGGAGACTCCTTTTACTACTGATCATACTGTTCCGACAAATGATATTCAGCAGTCGGATCTTTCATCTGACTTTATTCGCACAAGAGATGAAATTCGATTTGGTAATAAAGGTCCGTTAATAGTGATTAGCCCGTTACAGTCTATAAGTATTCCCAATTCTTTGTCTGGCTCAACTGAAGAAAATGATTTAAATTCCCATTTAGAGGAATTTACCGCTATACGTAATGAATTGACTATGGATCCTAAGCAGATTTCACGTGCAGATAGTAATTGGCCTCCAGAACTTGTGCAAACTATGTTGAGAACCTCTGATAGTTCCGTTAACAGTATAAATCAGTATGATATCAATGATTCTAAATCTGCCTTCTATCAACGATTATTGGAAGTAACTGCTCATCGAGTGAATCAAACAATGCTTAAGAAAAATTCACATATCCCCTTAAGAGATAATGAAAGATTGTTATATAACAAGGCATTATCTCTTGCTTTTGATGGTGGTGGGTCTAAGAGGAAAGGAAGTTCAACTAGACCTAATAATAACAAGGTTAATAGTAGACCAAAAACATCTAAAAAAGTACTAACATCCGATTCTGAAGGTGAGTTTTCATGTTGTGATAATAAATTGTTCAGCCGTGTTTTTATTAATATAAGGGGTTGTGTCGGCAACATCGATCAAACTGTCCTACCCTCCATGGCCTGTGATGACTGATCCACCTAGCAAGATGGAAGTCCGCAAGGAACCCTAACTCGTGAAACGCTACATATCACCAGGCACAGATGACTTACCTTCAATCCTTTCTAAAGATCTTGGTGACTATCTGGTTAAGGAACTGACTGAGTTGCTTACAAAGGTTTGGCAATTAGAGAGTGTTCCATCATCACAAAATGAGTCAATAGTTGTCTATATCTTTAAAAAGGGTTCACATCGTTTCTGCAAAGCTATCGGGGGATAAGTCTACTTCCGAATGCGTCCAAACTACTGGCTTCCGTCATACTTTGTAGATTGTTCAAAACACGAGGAAGATTGACTCGCGAGGAGCAGGCCGGTTTTCGTTCTGATTGAGGATGTATTGATCATATTTTCACCCTCCACCATGTGTTAGGACACCGTCATACTTATTACAGGCCGAGAATCGTCCTGTTTCTTGATAGTAGGGACGTCTTCGATTCATTGGACAGGACTGTTCTCTGGGATTGTCTTATGAAGAAGAGTATGCCTGATTAGTTTATTGACATCTTGAAAGCCCTATATGCAAACACCTCAGGCAGAGTGAGGGCATGCGACCACCTCTCTTCACTGTTCCATTCAGTTGTGGGGTTAGGCACGATTGCTCAGACTCACCATTCAACTTTGTTATCGATGACATTCTGGAAACAGCTCTAATGGATGTGTAGGGAATTGTGGCGCACATATATCTGGTGCTCCCTTGTAGCAATTAGTGTCAATATCTTGAAACATCGACCTCAATAGCTTGGACATGAACTACCTTTATAACACTCGAGTTTTCTCCCTCTTTACGAATGGGATATTAATAACTTAGACGAATATCTACACTAGATTCCCTCCCAGTGCCTATTCTACAGGACTTCAACACAACTCACATCAAAAACACGTGATTAGCCTGACTACAACGTAAATATATTTCACACCAAAAAACCGACACGATTCAACACAATCGATCCATAACAATAATGATAATAAGGACCGAAGAATATATAACTCATGTAACGCCTGTCAGACTATCTACTAGTCTGACTAAACAAACAACTAATCATTATCAATCTCACCCATACATCACCTATGAATATCATCCTGGAGAGTTCCACGTCGTAAATTGTTTGCGGACGTTGGGTCTGGTTGGAAAAAGCCGAGGGATTGTCAGTGTATGACAAGGTGTCGTGGTGTGAAAGTTGTACCAGACTGGCTTCTGCTAATCCTTCATGACTCCCTGGTCGGAGTTCTAGAGATGGTGCGACTTAGTGGTTAGAGACGTTATCAAACACGACTCAGAATAAAAGCCAGTGGCGATCCTTCTGCAACTTTATTTAACCTTCTTCGTAAAAGTAAATGTGTTCAAATAAATAAATAAAGGGGGTTTATAAAAATTTTAGAATTTTATAATGTACATCACAGACTGGCCTCAGTCAGACAACCATTAAAAATCGGAAAGCACTAGACAGTAGTATGAGACCCCTCGGCGAAACTGTAAGTCTACGGCCTCGTCAGCAAGGATGTATGTCGGTGTAATGGTCTAAAGCTTAAGCGCTTCCTAAGAAACCCAACCACGATCTCTAACGTTGTTGTGCACGCGTGCTCCCAGTGGCGAGTCCCATAATGGGATGAGGCAGCTGTCCAGTCCTTACTGGTTCATAGTGGTTGCTCAACGTCAGTCAGTTTTTATTGTCAACCGTTAAACCAGTTTTGCCCATTATTTTATTTTTCTTAATTTCTTGACAGCGTTTGATTCAAAGAAGTCCACGATCTCATTTTAATGTTTTAATGCTTCATTTTACGTTTCTTTTGTTTTTCTAGTCATCAGTTTTAGTAACTGAAACTTGGACTTTGTTTTGCCAGGCTAACTGTTCTTTCAGTTAGTTGGGTTAATTTACACACCGGCCACAACTTTTAATATTATGTCTAGATAGATTTATTTTCTTATACATATCATGTTCAACCTCATCATAACTCTGATGTACTTTTGGTAAATAAATTATAATCATTTATTTCGTGAATTCTTCTACTCTTTAAAGAAATAGTATTTATTTGTTTACAATCTGATTGTTTTATTATTTTAATTGAGTATCTATTATTTCATCTTAAACGGCTGAAAATGAATGAAAGGTTTTATTTGTTTGCAAATATTTTATTTATTAATCTTCAGGTCTACTTATTACTTCTATCATTGTTGTTTTATAGATGAATTCCCAGATAAACCTTGTTCAATAGCAAGTTCTTCGACAATCACTGGTCGTCGCAATGCTCATATAATTAAACAACAACAAGCTGCTGCATTAGCACGCCTAATACAAGAACGATCTACTCGTATCAGAAGTACATCTGAAGCATCCAATGAACAAAGTCGAAAAGGAATTGAAAATCTCCCTTCAACAAGCAGTAGTAGTAAAAACGTTAAATCTAAGAAAAATACTATCGGTACACAATCCAATAAAAAACGTCCTATTCGTAAGCGACCTCGTCGACGCCGACCTTCAAATATATCTGATGATAGTAACTCTTCTAGTCAATCTTTATATACTTCAGAAATGTCTTGTGTTTCCACTTCAGAACCATCAAATGACTCCTCTTTTGTTAATTCATCACAATGTACTGATGAAGATGATGATTTGTCAATCGACTCATTCTCATCAGATGATCGTTGGTCTCCTTCACAAGTTAGCTTCAACAGGAAGCAAAAATCTAAACGCAAACCTAAAGTACGTCGGTGAAATTTCCGTCTTTTATTCAAATTTCTCTCGACATTTTTTTCCTTCTAAAGATTGTAAACCAGTTTTATTATCAGCATTTTTATTTGTTCTATCAAATTTGTACAGTAAAATTGGTTATTTTTTTCACACACTATCTACCTTCATATACATGTATATTAACTCAAGATCATTTTCGTTTGCAATTCGAGTTTTTGTGAATCCCCTTTTATTTCGAGATACAGTTATATTTTTCTTTAAGTGTAATAAATGTAAAAAATCGTTTTACAGCTCTAGAAACTAACCAGTTCATCATTAATCTTGAAAAAAGTCATTATAACTAAGTGTCTGTAAATTCGTCAGTCCATTAAAGCAACACAATACCTCGCGTAAATATTCATGTTGCTCAGGTAGCTACACTACATCAACAGAAGGATAAAAAGTTGAAAAGTTCCATACCAAAAGAGTTATAGTATCGATAATGTCTATTATTGTGACTTATGATACTTTATTGCTTTCCTACCAAATAGACTTTGTTGACAATCACGAATTGCTTGAATTTAAGCTGTTTTGTTTATCAGTTTAAGTCTCGGTCGGTCCCTGATATTGTAAAAAAAGTTGTGGCATCAGATCAGCAAAGAATCGATGTTTGCTTTAACATATATTTAGTTGATACTAGTTATTTACAAATATTTTCATATATCATATTACTATATGTAAGTTCCCGATGTTGATTTCCTCAGAAAATATTAAGCGGGATTGTTCTTAGTTTTTAAGGTGAACTCTATGTATTCTCCTCAATCTCATTAAGAATTCCCAAGAATACGTCGAACGCTATCCTACTTGTTCAAGTTATGTACGTGAATTTGAAACATTTCTTGTATGCTTGGGAACCACTTCATCAGCGATGCTGAAGTTAAACTCAGTTTAAGTGGTCAGTTTGGCGATCTGGTTGATAAAATAGTGGATCCTCATCTACTACAGAGATTTGTATATGTATTACACATAAATATTATTACAAAGGGCACCAAATACATATGCGCCTCACAAGTCACTTGATTTGTGTGTGGACTATGATACTGCCCGGGTGCCCAGACCGAAGCAGGTGGTTTTCTTAGGGGGCCACACCCCGAGCATTTGACCTAAAAATCTAATCCATAAGACAGTGGAGCAACGTTAGAAGATGCAGTCCGATTGCAGCCGGTGACCAATAATTGATTCATATGCCATTTGTTCCCTCATCACACTGAAGCCCATGTTCAGCATTGTTTTGGAATCAGGGTTTTCCAACTCCCCTAGGTGGACTGTCCGATTTCGCCAACCCAATTAAAGCGCCGGACACTCGCTTTTCGTCTTCTCAATTTCGTAAACAACACCTGTGGTGCGAGAAGGCATTGAGTAAGACTTCCCTGACAGTGGCTATATAATAAGCGTGGCCATGTGAGAGCGTTTGGAGAGTGAAAGTTGACTCTCCCCACACTAGACCGTACCAATGCATTTAAGTGCAGACATGCATCACGTTCCCCCAAAAGCCTCATAATTTGACATGCAGTGTTCGTTTATGTAGTAGGCTGGAAGAAATCTATAAGCTGTGACATCAATGAGTATAGTCCATTAACTGTTAGAGTGAACCGTGTTGTCAGATGAAGCTTATCTTATTGGTGTCACGACTATCGTAACCAATAGCTGGAGACGTTGAGTGATGTGGCTTAGGATATTTCTCATTGGTGCAGATGCACCCATTCATCACCATCCATTAGATTTCCAGTTTTGAATTATCCTATAAGTACTTTATCCCTTGAATTTATTCTTTCTTCTCGAATGCTTTTGTCCATATACATGATCTGTTCTAATACCACTGATATTATTACTACTATTATTCTACTATCACTCCAGAATTTGTTTTGATACTTTCATCATACTGTGATGATATGGTGTGACAACGTGAGCCAACGGACACCTATTATCTACGTTGAGTATGACCTAGCCAACTGACTGGTCCTTCATTAATTTGTTGTGACTATTTGTTACATCCTCTTGGCATAGTTGGCTACTTACCACTTCGTAACTGTACAAATACTAGTATTGCTAGGCCTGATGTATTAAACATAACTGCGCTTGAGCATTCCTTAATACCACAAAATAGATCCATAGCAAATACAACCATCGATTTAAAGCTATATCAAAATAACCTTAAATCATGTCTGATTTTTTAATTTTATCAATGAAAAAAAATTTGAATGTTGAAGATGTACGATCGTCAAAAAGAAATCGTTACTGATATCGGTAAATTTCTATTACATTAACTACTTATACTTTCACTACTCTGCCACTACGGGATTTGAGACGATAACTGAATCTCTGTGCTAATGTGGTATGGCATCTCGAACTGATGTACGTACGTACGAAGTTCCACGTTGTTTCTGACTGACATTCAATTATTCAATGTGAACTCCGGTCACTGACTTTCAATATATTTTTAGTATGAATTTTGTTCATTTAGAAATACTCAAATCATAGACTTTAATTATTTTAATTGAAATAGAATAAATTAATTTAAATATATTTTTAATTGTATTGTGTTTGTTATATTACAAAACTTCCATCAGTAGAATGGGAGTTTTACTCTAGTTATCCGAGCAGAAAAGAAAAGAATGAAAATGTTCTCATTAACAGAATTGAAGTTGTTGAATATCAGCATTGTGCACAAATGTATCTCTAAAATGTACGGTATTCGATATAAGTTGGTCAACAATTAAATGCATATATACGACGTAACATGTTGATTACATTAGCTTACAGTAAAATAAATTATTGAGTTGAGTATTTGGTTCTTCCTGGTAAACCTAGTTTCCATATTAAGTATCTGTTAAATGTCTTACTCATATTTCACTATATTTTAGTTAATAAGCTTTCTGAAAGCTGACTTCCAAGGATCACTTTAATCTTGTTGATTTCTTATATGACTCACCTCTTTTCTAAATTGTAGCCCTTTTAGGTTTAGTTTCATATTATTTGTAGTTTGTTTATCGAGTGTACTTTTCATTTATCTTTTGCGTCTTTAAGAGATGGTATTACCATTTGAATGTCCAAAATAAAGTTGACGGAGTTCGAGTCCGCAACTCGTTGGTTACAAATGAAGTTATTTAATTATTAAGTAACCTTTCCACAGTTTTAAAAAAACAACACTTGAATATACACTATTTTTTGTGCTTTTCAAGGGCATTACTGTAAAGATAGCGTGATACTACGCTCTTCAAAGCCTGATTATTAGTACTGTATGGGTGTACTCTCATCTTAAAATGAATATGAAGTCATTGCATTAACCCCTACTTACACTTACCATCAGTGACCTTGAAAACAATTAGATTTTGATGAAATACTTCAACAACACAGTTATAAATTATTTTCAGTATGATAGCTATGCTGTTTACTTGTTATCAATTATGGGTAACATTGTCATTTCATATTTTGTAGAATTAAAATGGACAATGATTGAATTTCTTTATATTACAATTCCTAGTTTTAATTGCAGGATATTTAGTAATGATTACGCTGAACTAAGATACGATAATGAAAAGTATAAATAATTATAATTATTAGCAGAAATTTATTTAAACACATAAACATAGCTACAAGGAGGCACCAAATACATATGCGCCTCACAAGTCACTTGATTTGTGTGTGGACTATGATACTGCCCGGGTGCCCAGACCGAAGCAGGTGGTTTTCTTAGGGGGCCACACCCCGAGCATTTGACCTAAAAATCTAATCCATAAGACAGTGGAGCAACGTTAGAAGATGCAGTCCGATTGCAGCCGGTGACCAATAATTGATTCATATGCCATTTGTTCCCTCATCACACTGAAGCCCATGTTCAGCATTGTTTTGGAATCAGGGTTTTCCAACTCCCCTAGGTGGACTGTCCGATTTCGCCAACCCAATTAAAGCGCCGGACACTCGCTTTTCGTCTTCTCAATTTCGTAAACAACACCTGTGGTGCGAGAAGGCATTGAGTAAGACTTCCCTGACAGTGGCTATATAATAAGCGTGGCCATGTGAGAGCGTTTGGAGAGTGAATGTTAACTCTTTCTACTTTCGGCCATAGCTGTGCGTTTTCAGGGCAGATATTTATGCTACTAATATCAATTTAATCTTACGATATTCTTAAATTGTGTTCATACATGAAGTTGTTGATTAGTTGGTGTCAAGTGTCACTCAGTTGAATTTATTTGCCTTCTTCCTATTAATCTTTCTTAAAGGTTTTCTGCATTCCGTGTTTTCGTTTTGACTCTTGGTTCGGGTTATGTCTGTTCCCTTTTAAATGAAATAACATACACATTATTTCTTGTCAGAATTCATAAATACCTTTTTAATACTAACTTCCAGAATTCGTGAATTTAGTTCTCGCACAGTGTTAATTCTATCAAAGCGTCTACTTGAGCTGATTGACATACGCGCGAAACCGATGTTCCAAAACAACAATTTGTCTATAATAGCGGTTCTTTATTGAATAATACACAAAATTTAGTTACATACCTCAACTTGTGAGGTTTCTGTGGCGTTTAAACGCGTCCTTCAAGTATAAAGATAAAAGGCTTCCTGTAACAGTAACATAAAGAATAATTATAACATACGATAGTACAAAGGACAGCTGATAGCTGTGTCTAAATTTGATAGCAGTTTATGAACAACCGAAACCCGAACCAAGAGCAAAATAATATGGAAACTGTTGCGTTTAAACAAATGCACGAAACTGTGGATAAACGTTACAGTGATTAAGGTACAGTAATTATAATGATGAATACAATGATAAGTACAATAAACGTCATAAATATATGTGAATAATTCAGAATAATACACTACAACTTGCGTTACAACATAGGTGTAAAATTGTTGGAAATACAATTGCTTACTGAATGTAAATAAGTAGTACAAAACAATATACAAAAGAGTAGAAAGGAAACGAGTAGGAACAATGTAAGCAAACTTAACACCGCCCCCCAAAGACGGCATGTCTTTCCTTACTCTCGCTGACTAGGTATTTAACGTAAAAACATCCAGAAGTGATAATGGTACAATTTGCTCTAGCCACAATCACTCTGTCGTCTACTGTTCGGTCATCCGCACTTTCTAATAAATTTTACGTATGTCCCTAATAATTGTACCTTTCGACGTCCTGATCTTCGCTCGTCTCACTAGACCATCTTCTCCTGGGTCCATTTCGTTCGCGTCTGTAAGAGTGGTAAATACTCTTTTATCCACCGACGCCAAAATGTAGTCGCCAACAGTTGTGCTTGTCGCCATCGTCGGGAATAACGTTCACGTAGATTTAATTCAATGTGATGAAGGCAAGGTTTCCTTAACAAAAGTAAATTATTGGGTGACAATGCCTCGAGTTGTTCTGGGTCATCATAAACTGGAACTAAAGGTCTATCATTAAGTATTCTTTCTACTTCAGTCAAATAGTTGGTAAGTGTCTCGTAGGACATAGTTTGTTCGCTAGTTACGGCACTCAAAATTCTACGTATGCTTCTTAATAATCTTTCCCATATTCCTCCACGATGACTTGCGTAAGGTGTGTTGTAGTGCCGAAGAT